CTGTGAACTATAATCACAGCTTGAAAAGGTGTAATTGTATAACTTTTGTCAATTAATTATATTTGATGGTTATAGACTCTTTGTTGTATGAAGTTGCAAATGTATGTTCATATAGTAAGCGTTATACTCAGTTTCATGTACACATATAAAGGTGAATCGTATAGAAATTGTTTTATTCAAGTATAGATTTGTCTAATTTTAGGGATCAGCTACATCTTTGTTAATCGTCATCCAGTTCTTATGTAATCCCATTTACGGTTTCGCAATGTCAAGTATCAAGTCAGCTAAGTAGTCTGTAAATGTAACGGTCATCATGATTGCTTTGATCGTTTTCTACATTCTGTTATTTAAAAATATCGATTTTCTCAAATGACTAACATGGAAAAAAAAACTATTCTGAAATACTTGGTTATCTGTAATTTGTCCTCATGTTAATTTGTAATTCAAATCATGTTTCTGTCATGCAACTAACTTAGAGTAAATATGTATCTGTTTTCTCAAGTTGATTAGTGGCCTGAATTTTTACATATTGGGCATGATTTATACATATGTATTCCCTTTTAGTGAAATACGAGTTTACATGGGTTATATCTAACTATGAAATAAATGTTTGTGCAGAATATTTCAAGAATCCAATTACATGACACATAATATACAGTTATGATAATCATTTAATTTTGGACAAAATTTATAAATGAATACTAATAACACTTGTCATACATTTTAGCTTAAGTTATGTTCATGTTGAAAATGGTAAATTATTTTTTTGTTTAAATCATGCATTTTTCTCATACTGACTGGTCGGCTGAAACTTTTCATTCGTTTACTTTAATGTAAGCAGTTGTATTGCATCGTTCAATGTTGACACAGATGTACCAAACTCGAAAATACATAAACAAGTACTTTTGTGTGTGTGTGTGTATTCAGTTGTTAAATTACAATAAATAAGACATTTCTCGTTTACTTTTTTAGTGATTCATGGTTAGATAGATAAAAATCACCAATCGATAGAATTTTAGTGTGATTACGTTATTTTTCGATGCCTTTTTCACGAAATCAACAATATATGAGCATGATTAGTGTATGTGAACTACACATGACATTTCATTTTGAGGAGTAATGCATCTGAAATGTATGAATACAAAAATTATGTGGTTGGAAAAGCGTTCCATGCAGTTGAAGGAAATGTCCTTAGAAATTATGTTACGAGGTTATCAAAGAAATTGTCTTAGTACCATTCGGTTGTTGTGTCGTTGATCTCCTATAAATTTTTCTATTGTTGTTGCTAAACACAATAAGCAGATTTCTGATCGTAATAATATTTAGATGTTCAAGAAATATCAATCTTTAGACAATATGCAAAGGTTAGATTGTCCACACCTGCTGAGATATCTACAATCTTAAGGAGATTGATGCTGTTTCTAAAATTGAAACTTGTGTCACCAAATGCAGTGATAATCTCATCAGTTGAATTTCACAAATTTCAACTGTGTTTTCATCTTCCTCATTTTAAGCAGTTGTGTATTATTAAAATTAGGAATTAAAGCCAGAGAATCCGATGACGTAGATTTATATATGGTTACACAGTTACATTATGAATAAAACATTGATACAGTAAGTAGATAAATTCGAATCAGAATTGAGAAAGCAGCTTCTGAATCTTGAGAAAACTTTCAGTATACAAATGAATTTTTATGTAAACCCAAGATTAAGGAACCGTAGAAATACCTTTGAGAGCTGTACTCGGAATTTAATGATAAGCAGAAGATCAATTTTTTTCGATCATCATATGGTGACAATACTATGGTAACACCTATCAAATACTCGACTTTTTTTAATGCAGATTTCATATAATACAGTTCAATCATCTTTCTTAATCTTAAAACCTAATATCCCAACCTAAACAATAAACATCAGCCCCACACTCGTAGCCTTTGTCTGAATCCATGACTCCAAGTCTCAAATCCTAAATACTTAATCCTAACCCTAACCACAGATGATGTTGAGACTCCTGAAAATGCATTTGGATCTTTATAAGGTTTCAAGAAGACAGATGTTCCTATGTTAATGTGGATGAATTTATGTCATTGCTTCGGTTTACAACAAGCAGAATAACTTGTAAAAAAAAAACTTCAATGAACTCGTCATGTGAAATCGATTTACTTTCTGTAATATTATTGTATCTTTTTAAATAACGTATTTATTTAGCTACACTGTGTCGCTGTTGCTTTAAGCTCATCTCCATACTAATCATACTCTTATTGAATTATTCTGTAATAGAAAATTTCAGCAAACTAAACAAATCTCCTCATTAAATTAAACTGAAATCTTTTTTGTTTTGTTGTTGTTTCAATCATGTGCAACGGATTACATATTCTTTCTTATTATAATTCATTTTCTAATTTAGATTGTCAAGTACAATTGCCACATTAGAAGAACAAATGGTTGTATTAATGGAAAGATTAAAAAACTATGATCATGAAACAGAAATATCTTATCCAACTTTTTCTTCCACTTCCTCGCCAACTTCTACACCTTTCTCAACATATCGACGACATGTGTTGCAAATCAATTCACCGACCTCTTCACCATCCATCAAATCAATGTTATCATCACCTAAGCAAAATAATACTACTCTTAATTCTACTACTACTACTACTACTACTACTGCTGCTGCTAGTGACATGAATAAGCGTAACGATTGCATTCATTACACTAATACATTATTTTTAAAAAATATGCTCAAATCAACTATTTCAAATCAATATCATAGTGGTTCTTCTTCTTCTAAAGAAAAGATGAAATTAAAGCCAGCGAACTATAACATACGTAACAAAAGACATGCCAGTCAATATAGTAGTGTTTCATTATTAACAGAATATCGTGAAAAAAGTGGTTTATTCTTTATTGATGATGAACTATTCGATCAACCAGATATTGGCATTACTGCTGGCAGTCATAATGACCATACTAATAATAATCATAATAATGCTGCTGGTAATCAACAGAAATTATTACGAACAACTTCTACCTCCTCTTTTATTTTACAATCAACATTTGAAAATTATTCACATAAACAATTATCACATAATTTATATCATAAAACACCTTGGAGGCGGTTGATGATGAGATCGAAGAGAACAGGTGAAGAACAACAATGTACCCTGTTAACGGATCATGATGATAATGATAATACTGATAATCTTAATGGTACTCTATTGAATACATCTTCAATCCTGCATCGAACATTCAGTTGGCCTCGTTTCAATGAAATGCTGTATACTGATCACGAATCTATCGATTCACCTTGTAATTCAGCCAATTGTGATAATTCTTTACAGGACATGTTAAGTCCTGAAATGAATTGTAATTTAATGGAAAAGAAAGCTAATCATGGTAAGTATTTGGCTTGCAACAAATCCTATTCCACTAGTTTAAATTTATAAATTTTCACATCATTTGTATTGACACCAAAAAGTAATGAATGTTGCCAAATTTATTGTTTTTCAACAAGTTTTCTTCTCTCGATTTATTTATTCCGAATACATACAAGTTATTCAGACATTAGATTAATATCTTATTTCATTTTGTTTTATTACAACTACTCATACTTTCGATCAATAGATAGATAGATAGTTGTGAACACCTTCATAGATTGGAAGAACCCGGTCATCTTATACTTTTATGCAAAAACCAGACAGATCACGTGCAGTCTCAAAATTTAAACAAACCAAACTATGACAGAAATTCGACTACTTACTTAGCCATCGTCAAACCACACTTGACGTTATCTAGTTTCACATGGTGAGCTGTATAAATAATATTCATTAGCTGTGAAAGGTTATCATTTGGTTTTTCTAGTTAAAACTTTATTCACACACAATGTTTTCACTTTCACTGGTGGTTTAGCAATCGTACATAGAGCTTACTTTTTTTTAATTGAATTGATCGTCGTGGATAGTACACAATCAAACGCGACCTAATATAAATGTGTTAAATGCTTATTTTTCCACTATTCACATGATTACACTTAGAGGAAGTTAACAAACAAAAAAATTAATCGTTACTGAAATCGAAGAAGCGAAGTTGAAAGCGGAGAAGAATAAAAATTTTACAGATTAGTAGGTTGTTTCCAAAAAAAAAACAGTAAAAAAGATTACATGCATCTCAGTTTGATTGTAAACCGTATTTAATGACGTTTGTTTTATCTCACCGACCTACATCTCAAAGTATCAAACACTGTGATTGAGTATATATCTCAACTACTTCAGTTCATTAATTGGCATTTAGTATTTTACGCCCAACTTATGCATTTCTGCAGCATTCAGTAGTTTCAGTTTACGTAAACACTGCTTCGACAATGCCCTTTATCAAACAAATATCTCCAATATATTTGCTTTACTTTCAACGGGTATATTTCAACTAGGCAAGTACTTACAGAGTAAATAAACGACTTAGTATACTAGGATAGCTAACGACTGATGTCTCACATATAATTCGGGTAGGTCGAGATTTCATCAGCCACCATTTCAAAAAGATTATTGAGATTTCTGAGATGAGTGAATTAATCGATATATTTACTCCCTTTGGAGGAACTCAACGTTAACGTAATTTAATCCAAAAGCAATATTCTGAATTTGAGGGAATTTGAAATTCATTTTGAGCATCACAATGTCAATCAAAATGGTCAAATATCCCAACATAGTCAATGCATATGATAGTTCACCATCACCTGTAACTCATTCATGATCAGTGTTTGGTTGATAACTCAGTCAGTAAGACACAATTATATACAGAAGAACAGTTTCCCATCGATTTTTTTACTGTTCAAATTCAATGCTATTAGATTTTTTGGAAAAATGTTACGCATACACGTCAGTTGATATGCTTGAACTATTACGAGTTTACCTTTACACTACAGGCTACTCTAATCCGATTGTTCCGAACCTCCATTGAGTAAAAGAAGAAGACTTGATATGAAGTAGAACGTATCTTCTACAAGCATGGAGAAAGTAGGAGGTCCGAGTCCAGAAGAAAGCAATAATCTCAGACTCAGGATCCCTGTCCGGGTCATAAAACGTTACAGATAATGCATATTTATACAATCAGGTCGAATAGGAACCAACATTGAAGTCTGTGACATTAACAGTTAGTACGACCAATAGGAAACAACATTGAAGTACGTGAAATCGATAGCTAAGACGACCATAATATTGACCAATATAGGATTAGATTTACAAAAATAATTCTCTTAGGATATTTGATGAATATCCTAACAAAAACCAAGCAAATTATCAGTACTTGGAAGCACGAATATTTGGCACTTGAATATCATATATTTATTAGTTTGTCAAAATCTTTTAACGAACAATTTTTTTTCACAAAGTATCTTCGTTCAATACGAATTCAATTCTGAATCTATGTGCGTTTTGATCTGCTAAATACTTATAGATTATTCAATATAAACGTTGAAGTTGATTTGTTTCAGCTAAAAGGTTTTATGATATGGGCCGGATACCAACGTAAAACCCTAATTAGTTTTAGACTGTATGCAAAAGTTATTTATTTTAAACCCTACTAGAATGTCAATACAAAATTTAACTGAACCTAATTTACCTATTCCTATATGAAGCTGCAGTTATCATAGTCTTTATTAATAGGTACTTTTTAAGGATAACTCAACTTTACTTCATAGTTTAGCTGCAATGACTATAAGACTGGGAGACGATCATCTAAAACATTAAGGTATGGAGCGTTTTAGCACTCCTTCTATAAACTGGTAATCCCTAGATAAAATAAAAACACCGGAATCTGTTAGGTGTGAACATTTAAGTGCTCATATACAATTATCATGTACTCACTAGTGATTAGTTTCGAGAGGAAATTTCCGTAATTCTAATGAGAAGCCGTAACTAGTCGCGCTAAACTGTATGAGTCAAATTACCTACCCAAAACCATGTAAGATGGTTGCGCAATGTTATAGATTAATATTACGCTTATGAATTATTTAGCTCAAACTATTCTGTACAAAATAAACAATATTGAATATATTTTCTCTTACTCTACAGACATATCAACATCTCCGATACGTAAGGATCATCAATATGAGGAATTTTCTAATAGATGTCAAGTCAATTCACCATCAGAGTCAACCACATTATCTAAGGATAATCAGGTGGGATATTCTCTTTTAATTGCTTTTAACTTGTTCACCTCTAAATATGTGGTTCTTTTTTTAAGTTCAGTGTAATTGCTTACTGGTTGCAACATACAGCTTTCAATCCTGAAGTTGTACACTATACCATTACTCAATGTATTTGGAGAACGTGATCACTACTTTCAGTCGCTTTGGCCAGTTAGTCAGCTACAACGTAGAACTTCGTACTTACGTACATCACTTGAAGTTTCACAGACGCACAGAGACGCAGTTGTCTCTTCAAATCACATAGCGGTAGTGGGGAAGATTAGGGTTCGGAGATATTATTAAGGAAGTTTAGTCCAGTGAAATAAACTTAAAAAAAGAGAAAGATAGAGGTGATGGGGAATTCGAAAGGTTACGATTTGAGAGGACATAAAGAATGAATGCTCCTGCACTATTACCAGCGGTTTCGAGCCATGGTCTCTAACGATCGATTACTATCATCTAGCGGGCCCCAACCAGGTAGTCGACACCTACCAACATGCCTCAGTCCACTTGTCAGTGACTTCATGGATTTCTGCCATGTTTTGGTTTGGCCGCCCCTAGCTTTCTCCCAACCTTCTCCTACATCACAAAACATCGCTCATCGAGTCAGTCGGTAGTTGGGCATACGTAACACATGTTCCAACCATCTCAACTGATGAAGTTCCACTACTTCATCTATAGATCTGCCATCCGTACTTAGTGCCCGTTTCTTAACAGTAGTATTGCCTACGCGATGGTCCCAAGGTACACGAACAAAGCTTCGAAGACACCTATGGCCGAAAATCAACAACTCACGCATATCCTCTACTCTTACTGGTCATGTCTCTCGCACACATACAGAAGGATGGAGAACGCTGTAGACTCGTTCTTCGTTTAGCAAACAGATATCTCGTTTATGCCATGAGTGACACAGGTTGGCAAAAGTCAGTCGAACTTTCTGGACCTGTATCGATATTTCGTCAGTCACCAGGCCATCTGCACTGATGAGACTCCCGAAACAAATGAGGCGGTCAACACGTTCAACTGCTTTACTCCCTCTCACCAGTTCAGGTGCTGACGCAAGCCGATTCTGAAGTAACATTTTTTATTTCGATGGAGAGAACCGCATCTGGAACATGTTTGCATTGTTGCTTAAGGTAGTCAGGATACTGTATTTTGTTTTTGTCTTCACCAAATTGAACTATATCATCGGCATATTCTAAGTCAACAAATGAATCTCCTGGTACAGGAACTGAGAAAGGACAACGCTGACGAACACTAATTGAAGTAATCAATTCCGATAACGGTTCACCACACGTTCTAACTAGACCAGCGGTGTTCGAGTAGAGAGCTTGTGTAAGGTCGGTGCGCTTCTGTGGCACACCTTTCAATGACAGACAGTCACAGAACCTCGAAATCGACAGAGTGAACTAGAAACGTTTGAATCAGCGGCGTGGGTTGACAAAGGAATGAAAGAACGGTTGGTCGTGAAGATAAGAGTTATCGAGAGGTGTAAGAAGCATTTGGTTGTGACCAATTTGATCCCGTGTGCTGTTACCTGTATGAGAGTGTATGTCACTTCCTGGCTGCCCATAGGGTGGAAGAGTGTTTCTTGAGGAACCGGAAAAAGAAGTTGGATTAGTTTTGGTCTTGGAAACCTGGGAGAGACTACACAGAGCTCTACAGACAACTGATTGAGACCGGTAACACGGCTTTTTTACAGGAAGTTTGTAGAGTGTTAGCCCCGCTCTCCATGTGGCCTTACCGCCGGAGACGGAAATGTGCAAGGTAAGGTGAAGTGTGACATTTTTAGAGTCGACCTTTTTTTTAACCCCTTCCCTCCATTTTGAGAAGGCAGCGTTGCTGCAGACTCTGTCTGTCCGAAGAAAACACCTTACTTCTGTCTCACTCCTATACAGTCAACAGCTCGGCTCCAAACCCAGATCTTGAGTTGCTACTTTTAGTGTTACCGTTCTTTAATCAGCCTGTCTAGTAGACTCTAAGCTTTTTATGATTGACTGACTGGTATTCAATAATATGCTTTTCGTGAATGTTTTCCATTTCGCTTGTTAAATGTATGAAATTTTCGTTAGTCCGTAAAGTAGGTTATTATAAATTAGTTAAATCAAATTAATGTTACCGAAAATTAAGATTTTATTGATTTTTATTGCAGTAAATAATTTTTCATATGTTTATATGGAATTTTTAGATGTAGATGTTGGGTATTTACTTAAACCTTCGTTCGATTCAACAACACTGTATTGAAGACCTTTCCTGCTGTTGAGATTAGAGTGATTCCTGTGTAATTCGGACACTTGCTGAGATCTCAATTCTCGGTTATCTAGATGGGTTGTGTTTTCTTCCAATCCGTCGGTTCTTGTTCTTCCTCGAAAATCTTATTTAAGAGAGTACGTACGATGTTTGCAGTTACTGCTATGTCTGCTTTCGGTGATTCAGTTGGTATGCTGTTTGGTGTTTTTGCTTTCCTGGTCGTGATTTGTTTGATGGTCATGCTGATCTCTCCAATTGTTTGTGTGTCAACATTGATTGGGACGTCTGTGGGTGTTGCTTCGATGTTGGGTGGGTTCAGTGGGGCTGGTCGATCTAGGAGTTCTTCGAAGTGCTCTACCCACCTGTTTTGCTGTTTTTCAATGTCGGTGATTGCTTTGCCTTCCTTGCTTTTCACTGGTCATCCTGCTTGACAATAATTTCTAGCGAGTTTCTTTGTTGTATCATACAATTGTATTATGTTTCCTTCTCTTACACCCTTTTCCACCGTCATTGCTAGATCTTTCTGATGCTCCTCTTCACTTGCCTGTTTGTTTCTGTGTATTTAGCTTGTGCCATGGCTTTCTATGCTTTTGTTCGTCTGATAATGATTGCTATCTTCTTGTTCCTTCTTTCCTGAATCTTATCCAGTGTGTCAACACTGATCCATTACTTTTGATGATGCGTCATTTGGCGCAGAACCTCATCACATGTTGAAATGATTGCCTATTCGATCCCTTTCCAATTGTTCTCCATCGTACTTTCCTCTCCAATGAGTAGATTGTGTAAGGCCTGGAACCTATTGCTGAGGGTTATCTTGAATTCGTTGAGATTGTCAGTATCCCGAAGAGGGTCAGTATCTAACTTTTCTGATGTTGTCCACCCTGTTTTCCAGTGCTTCTCGAGTTTCTGTTTCATCTTGGCGACTAGCAAGTGGTGATCTGATGCTATGGCAGCTCTTCTCTTGGTTCTCACATCCTCCATAGTCCTTCTGTACTTTTTCTTGGTTCCTACACGGTTGATTTGGTTCTGAGTAGTGTGATCTGGCGAAATCCGTCTGGCTTTATGTATGCGGCTATGCGGAAATATGGTATCGCCTATGACCAGTTTGTTGAAGGCACATCGTTTTGCAAATCGCTCACCATTTTCGTTCATTTCTCTCAGTCCATGTCGTCCCATGATATCCTCATATCCTTTGTTGTTCATTCCAAACTTGACATTTAGGTCTCCCATCACAATGGTGAAGTCCTTTGTTGGGCATTTCTCAACGATTGATTGTAGCCTTGGGTAGAATTGATCTTTAATGTCTTCATTGTTATAGTTGGTAGTCGTATAGCACTGAATGAAGTTCAATGTAATTCTCTCTTTGATTGGTTTGAAGAATGCCTTGATGATCATGTATCCATGAGATTCCCATCTCATAAGTTCTTTTCGTACTGGTTTAAAAAGAATCAATGCAACTCCATGTGTATGATGCGTATTCTTCATGGCTAATATACAACATATTCTATCCTGAAGCTAATCTTTTTATTCACTTTGCTTCCAGTATGGCATGCTGATTCCAAGCACCTCCAGGTTGTATCTTTTCATTTCCGTCGCAACTTGATTGGTTCTTCCAGTCTCCAGCACTGTGCCAACTTATACGGGTTAGCAGGTTTTTAGCAGGGTTGTTTCGCTACGGGATAAGATTGTGAACTCCTTTCCTTTTTCTACTTATTTCTGGTCTTAGATCAGTCGGTAACTCACGAATAGCTCCAAGCGGTGTTAATAAAATTATTTCCTAACTTTAATCTGATTCGAATAGTTAATAGTCAGTAAACAATCACTTTCATTTTCTTATTCTCCCTTTCATTTCAGGCTAACTGCTGTTCTTCTTTATCAAATGAAGCACAACACAATGATCAACTGATAAAAACGGGTGATAATAATGGTAATAATAATCAGGAATCCAATAAGCGAGAAAATTCTCCCGACAATGAGTTTACTAACAATAATACTTTAACTAAATTGAATACAGATTTATCAAATGCAGAAGTAAAACGGAGAGTTTCTGATCAAATTCATGATTTATTAGATGATATCAATTTTGTCAGCTGTCTAGACCGTATCTATAATCCACATTTACGTTCACAATATCAAGATGTAATTAATTCGAATTATCGGCCAGCTTATAAGGAATTATTTTATGAAGCTTTCAATATGTTGAAAAATGTACGTGATGGAAAAGAGTATAAAACAACAACTTAAACATTTTTCTTAAACATTTTAGACAATTTGCCCAATACTACATACAAATCATGATAATACTGATGTTATTTTTTTTTCAATAGTTCTTCCTATTGTGTTCGTTTTTCGAAGTTTTCCAATTTTTTTTTATTTCTTCAAGTTTCATAATTTGTTAGATTTGTGTTTTGATTTCTTCAGTTTTTATTCTCGTTAATACACATATTAGTCATTCGTCTTTCGTAATAGACCAGTATCATTTTTTTTAAAGTTTCGTTAAAATGATCATTTGTCTAGTTTGTTCCATGTGCAATAAGTTGGAGATATAATAAATTTACTAATTATTAAAGATCATACCATATACATATAACCTGGCATTCTATTTTGTTCATATTCCAGCCAGATGGTCTGATCGATAAATAAACAATTTTTTATTCTTGTTTTAATTAACTGTTTTCCGAAAGTTTATGTATATATTTATATATATTTATCCCGAATTAGAAGAAATCATCATCAATCAACATTAAAACTGATTTGTGGAATAATGAACTCGTCGAACTGAAATGTGTGTATATCTTATTTATAAAATGCCGTTTGTTTTTTAATTTCATCTTAAGCATTTCTTTCATTTCTTCTCTTTGCTCATCGTTTTAACAAAGTGAATCACAGTATTCACCGTTATCATGTCAACAGCTGTCGATTTTTGTCGAAATCCGATTCTCTGCTTTTTGTGTTGTATAAAAAGGATAAATATTCGAAAACCCAACTATACAAAATCCACAATGGACACTTATTTTGTTTCTTTTATAAAATAAGTTGCAAAGAAATTGAAATTAAAGTCTGCTTTTTTTGATTAATCGATTTGTTGCAAACAGAAATTACTTTCATTGATAGTATTCATAACAGGTTATTCCTCTTTCGATTGCGATTATAGACCAGGACACTCACAACGGTAGATAGAACCCACAAATTTACCACTTCTGGCGACCAGGACATGATCTATAATAGGTACATAGAATGTGTGACTAATGTGCGAGACATGAAGCATTATTCAGTTAGTCGCAAAAAGTAAAAAATACAACCTTAGAATGTTTTGAATGAAAGAAATTCGCTAGAAAAATGACCGACTTCGAAAAAATTATAGTATGAATTTACCTTGAGCATAAGTCTTCTGCGTAATTCCGTATATTACACCTAGTCTAACGTCGTTTGAACAACGGTGGTAATCAGAACTCAGATACAGATAAAGTTAGATGAGTTTATTTCACGCACTAGGACCGACTTGAAAATCGAAAGCCGAAAATTAAAACAAAGAGGAGAAGACAAGCCTAACACCTCTCTTTTATTACGAGTGACTAGTACTTTGTATTAAGACAGATTAACTGAGAATGTGTAATGAATGGGGTGGGCGATACGCACATAAGCGTTCTAAGAATTCGGATGTCGACACAACACTAATATCAACAAGAAGGAACCTAAATAGCCAAAAACATTCATTAGTTACCATTGGAAATAGTACCTACAGCATACAAAAAACTGACAGTAGCTTACCGACTTAAAGAGTTCACTCTGATGACGACTAGGTCCAATTCGTTACCCATGTCGTACACATAACTACAACGATGCTATGCTTGAATGTCCGCAATGAGATTTGTGGTGGCTAACTTAAAGGAAGAAAACACAACTGAAATATAAACATTTATTATCGTACTTAATTCCGACAATACTTGTTATATCTCTTGTTTATCTGTACTAAAGACTATCTCTCGATCGCCAAGCGTGTTATTCCCATTCTCCTCTTCGCACGTCTCCTGCGTGGACGTTAGCTTTTTGTACGCCCTCTTGCCTCGATATTATTTCAACATCACGAGGCCAGTATCAAATATACTTCTTCCTCTAGAATCTGTTTCTTACTTGATTTTCTGAGTTCGTGGACTAACATTTGTTCTCCACCGAAGAAGTATATCGTACAAATTGCTATAGATTCTAGACTCTACTTGAGCAAACCACCTATCAATAATTCTCGAACATTTGGAAACAATTAAAATCTCACACTTCATTAGCCCTCTCCTCCTCACCGGCTGAGCTACAAGAATCCAAGCTTTAGAGAGCAATACTCCCACTCTTATCTCTGCAATCTGTGCAAGAGATTCATGTCTCTTTCAAAGAGAGAAGCCACAGCACACAATGTTGTGAACTTCAAGGTGAGGCGGTGAGCATGTTGGAGGCGGGTTGGAATGATATCAAAAAGGCTGTGGAAACAGCAGTGATATCTTCTAGTAAGCTAAACCATAAGGCTAGAATGAAGCCATGGATCTCAGTAGCATCCACCGAACTGATGGTTGTTCGAAAACTCATCTCACCTGGCTCTGAACATGATGAAAAGCGAAGTCAGCTCAGGCGCAGGCTGAAAAAAAGCCTGCGTAACGACCGTGAACAGTGGTGGGTGCAGAAAGCGAGAGAGATGGAAAAGGCAGCTGCGATAGGGAACAACAGACAGTTGTACCGACTTATCAAGGAAACCGGTATTAGGAACCCGAATGTGAGTTAGACTATCTCGGAAAATGATGCGACTATTATTTATTCTCAATCCAGGAGACTGGATCGATAGGCAGAACACTTTAGGAATCAGTTCAACTTGCCTCGAGCCACTCTTCGGTTCCCACGATCTCCAGTCATCCTAAATGGTGAATCGATTTAAGTCCCCTTAGGCTTAAAGAAGTTGAGTAAGCGTTAGGAAATCTGAAGCGAGGGCGAGCTGCAGGTCCTGATAGACTGACCCCTGAGATGTTTAAGGATGGTGGACCAAGTTTAGCAGCTAGGTTGACTGAGATCTTAGGCAGAATCTGGGAACTGGACGTAATCCCATCCTACTGGTCTCAATAACTGATTTTCCCAATCTATAAGAAAGGATAAAAGTCTTCTTGTGACTATCACAGGGGAATAAGTCTAACTAATATAGTTCCTAAATTGTTAGCGTCAGTTATACTTAGACGCCTAAGTAAAGCTTGTGAAGAGCAGACTGAAGAAAACCGGGCTTTTTTTCGACCTGGACGTGGCTGTATAGACCAGGTATTCACACTACGTCAGGTCTTAGAACAAAGACACCTGTTCAGACGCCCCAAAATAGTAGTATTTTTCGGTCATAAGGCGGCATTTGACTCAGTTGATCGTGGGTTTCTGTAGCAGTGTCTGTCATTGAAAGGTGTACCAGAGAAGTACATTAACCTCATACAAGCTCTCTACTCGAACACCACTGGTCGAGTGAGAGCTTATGGCGAACTGACACCGTAATTCTTTACTTAAAGTGGTGTCCGTCATGGATGTCCACTTTCTCCATTCTTGTTTGATTTTATCATAGACATACTCCTAGATATAACCCTATCCTCATCCGAATTTTCAGGAGTAGACCTTTTACATGCTGGCTCGTTTATTGACTTAGAATATGCCGATGACATAGTCCTACTTGGTGAAGACGCTGACAAAATGCAGAGTCTTCTGACTACCCTGAGCAACAATGCAAGCATGTTCGGGATGCGGTTCTCACCCTCGAAATGCAAAATGTTGCTTCAAGACTGGGTTGCATCGGCCCCTGAACTAGTGATAGGGAGTGAAGTAGTCGAACGTGTAGACCGTTTCACTTATCTGGGGAGTCTTATCAGCGCTGATAGCCCGACGACTGACGAAATCTCAGCTCGGATACAGAAAGCTCGATTTGCTTTTGCCGATTTACGCCGTTTATGGCGTAGGCGGGATATCCTTTCGCTAATTAGAGGACAGGTGTACTGCGCAGTAGTTCGCTCTGTCTTACTTTATGGCTGTGAAACATGGCCAATGAGAGTAGAAGATATTCGTAGTTTACTGGTTTTCGATCATAGGTGTCTTCGAAGCATTGCTCGTATGTACTGGGACACTCGAGTGAGCAACACTGTTATTAGGAAACGGGTGCTAGATAAGAATGGCAGATCAATAGATGAAATATTGAAACTTCATCAGTTCAGGTGGTTGGGACATGAGTCAACAATGCCGAGACACCGACTGCCTCGACGAGCTATGTTTTGTAGTGTGGGAATAGGTGGAGAGAAAGCTAAGGGCGGCCAAACCAAAACATGGCAGAAATCCATGAAGTCATTGACTAGTGGACTGAGCCATGTCGGTAGTTGTCGACTACCGGATTGGGGTTCGCGAGATGATAATAATCGATGGTTACAGACCGTGAATGACATGGCTCAAAATCGTTCGCAATGACGCCGGTGCATTTATTCTCTGTGTTCTCTCAAATCCTCTAATCTTCTGAATTCTTCAAGCCCTCTAGTTTTGACTTTCTAAACTTTTCTCACTGAATCATACTTCTTGAATCATATCTTCTAATCCTAACTTTTCCGATCACTTCTAATACCTTGACTACCTCTTCTACTATTGGATTTGAATTGACGATTACATCTCTGTGCTGATAAGGTATGGCAAAATGAACAGATGTACTTACGTACGAAGTTCTACGTTGAATATGACTGACTGACTGACTTGGCTTCAGTACTTTTTTAGTAACCGCTTAGCTGAAGGCGCAGCAGTACGTCTGAACATACATAAAGGGAAAAGTAAGATTCTACGATACAACACAACATTCATAAACCAAACCACTCTTGATCGAGATGCCTTGGAGGATGTGAACACGTTTACATATCTTGGCAGCATCATCGACGAGGAAGGTGGATCCGATGCAGATGTGAGGGTGCTGATCGGCAAAGGAAGGGCTGAATTTTTACAATTGAAAAATATCTGGAACTCCAAACAACTTTCAACCAAAACCAAAATCAAGATTTTCAATACAAATGTCAAGACAGTTCCACTGTATGGCGCGGAAACTTGGAGAACTACGAAAGCCATCATCCAGAAGATACAAGTATTCGTGAACAGTTGTCTACTCAAAATACTTCGGATTCGTTGGCCAGACACTATCAGCAACAACTTACTGTGGGAGAGAATTAACCAAATTGCAGTGGAGGAGGAAATCAGGAAGAAGGGGTGGAAGTGGATAGGACACACAATACGAAAAGCACCTAATTGCGTCACAAGACAAGCCCTCACTTGAAACCCTCAAGGTGAAAGGAAAAGAGCAAGGCCAAGGAACACATTACGCCGTGAAATAGAGAAAGATATGAGAGGAATGAACAAACATTGGACAGAACTTGAGAGGGAAGCCCAGGACAGAGTTGGTTGGAGAAAACTGGTGGGTTGGACGAGTACAGCCTTGAATCTCGATTTACCAGGTAGAGCACTGTCATTGACGTGTGCCGGTTTGAGACGAATAATGCTGACTGTGTCCATCAGCTTGAAGGTCTTTTCGTAACGAGACGTTACGTGAAAAGATCTTACGTAAGGTTGTTCAGTACCGAATCTACTCGTAAAAAACATATGGACAGATAAATAACTCTCGAGGGAGAGCGACCTGTCGATGTTATATTCAACTTCACACCGAGGGCAGTGTTCGCATCTACGCATATAGTCGGTGGACGTTATCTGATATACATAAAATCGCTGCTCCGTGATGTGAAAATATTCCCCAGGCAGATGCAATGTAGTGTCGTATTCAAGTTCATTGGATACCTGCCGTTGCTGCTCTGTAATCGCCGTTTGATATCCAATCGATGCCATCTTTTTTGCGAACCGAATGGAGAGAGGAGGCTCAAGGACTGTGATAAAGACGAAGTAATACATTTAGCCAGTAAACTGTCAAACTCACGCTTAGTGAAAACTGAAGTGTCCAGTGACAGTCGGCGAGGTTTTGCCGTGACTGGGGGTCTGAAAATGACGATGTGACTTACCACATGATTAATCACCAGCTGAATCTGCACGGTCTAGTTACTTTGAGGAATTTATCAAATACAACATGAAGTGAATAATAATGCAAAATGTATAATGGTGATCCGGTACATATCTGTTTGCGCGTTAAAAACCCAAGGATTTGATATTCACCGAAGTATCGGTTATCTGCAACCTACGTGAATCGAATAGCAATTCATGGAGCTGTAGGAAATGCTCAATGTTCTTGTTAGAAGCAATAACTACTGAAGATCAGCGGTAACGTGGTGAGGAGCCACCCACCAATATATAATGAATGATGGTCATGCAATATCGTCAATTGATTTGGGTTAGACATTGACATCCTTGAATGTCATATCAGCGTGCAAGATATCAAGCGTTTGTACACAAGATCGAAGCTCCTGTATATCACTCAAGCTTGCACGGTAGTAGACATGAACTGATAACCCGTCTAGTACCGAAACGAAACGCCCTTCCTGTGCTTACAGGTTTCCAGTGGTAGCCGAAAATTGATCAGTTTACCATTCCAGTAAAACTAGACGGTTTACTCTAACGTCTTTATGACTGAGTTTTAACGCTCTGAGCGTTATGATGTTGTTATTTACGTACTTAACTCCCAAATACTCTACCTTTTGAGGATTTAGATCAAAGTCACTAGCAATGCGCTTATCTATGTTGCCAAATCAACCGACCCATTCCAAAATGCTGACTTGTCACGATGCAACTACCTAATCTATGAAATATGACGCGGAAGTCACATCATTTTCTATGCCGTCTCACCATGTCGTGATAAACAACAATGCAATTAATAGTACTTTTGAGAAAACAATTTGGCTGTTACTAGATCCACACTAGCTGATGAAATGGATATTGGATTTTGAAACCATTGGTACCACCAATTTGAAAGATGTGCGTTATGCTTCAATGAACCCTAAGGCCGATCAAGAAGAAATTTTAGAGGAGTGTTTATGCGCGGTTAGGCAGTATGCGTGCCAAATGGAATGCTCTCTGGTTAGTTATGGTAATTTCTGAACGTCGCTGCAGGAAAAACGACATTTGGTCGACGCTATACAACATGCTGCCAATATGCTCCTAGAGATGAAAAATTATTTATTGTCACCGAAAGCATACTATGAGTTATGTAAGTAGTCTGAGATCGTTTTTGCAACTTTAACGCATAGATATTGTTGTTACGGACAAACTACGTACTCTGGAATCCTACCTTGTCGAAGAACACAAAAGTGGACGCAAGGTTTCATATTTATACGAAACGGTTCAATACGTTTCAAGTGTCCTTCCTCGATTGTGCGTATATTGTCTTCTTGGTTTGGTTTGAAGAATTTTTATTTTCGTGTAATGCGCTCGTTGAGTGAAATTCCTAGGCATTATATTATCCCAATTATACCGCTTCACGCAACTGATGAAAACCTTTATTTACAGTTTTTTTCCCAGTAATAATCTTACGCCTTATTTATGCAGAATATTTGTCAGTCATTTTCAGCCTCGGTCTGATAATTCACTCACTGCCTGTTAAGGGCCGAATTTTCTAAAGGAAAGATATTTGTCAGCTCTTAGAGAAGTTAACTGACAATATGTATGAAAGATGAAAGCTGATTGACATGAAGTCCTTTATTATGTAGTCGTTCGAGTTATTTTTTGATCAAAAATCCATTGACCTTATAATGACAAATACTCGTTATATCCATCGTGTGATTGCAATACATTATCTACAAATTGGATTAAGCTTTAACGGACCTGTTATTGAATGACCGGTTGTTTTTCTAGGTAGTTGTGATACATTTCACTCTACTAGCGAAGGAAAACGGTTGTCTTAGACATTTGTGACTTGTGGTAACTACCTCCTGTACAGAGCTGGATGGCTATTTTACACACCGAATATATGGTATTTGTTCTTATGTATTCTACAAATGCAATAAAAGCGAAAGTTTTATCAGTAATTTTATGAATTCCTCATTTAATTTATACCTTCCACAATCTCTTAATAGTAAGTCTCAAACCATTACATTTCTCGAATCCGCTTGTATAAAGAGCCATTCTGAATTCAATTACTGAAATTCTTATGGTTTACTTAGTCCCACTCAAAGATATTTAGTTCATACATGGCAAGTAAATGAATCCAACACTTCGCAAAGCATTCGTTAAGTTCTTATTAGCCAAATTGAGGCTCCAATTCACTTTGTTGCTGCATTTATATCTTTTTGACTGGAAATATCCAATTTCCAACCTAGTATGCACCTGTTAAAATTGATGTTAAATGTAAACGTATGGATAATTATTTAAAATAATACCTATTTCTGTATCGTATACAGAAATTAGCGTTGAAGAACTATAATTATCGCTTTATTCAGTGCCAAATTTATAGTGTAATGAGTAATCAAGCTTTCATACTCTTTGATATGCTTGTGTTAAAAGCTATCATATATTTGTGTGTGAACCATATCCCCGGTGTGATGGTTAATTTCCTTTGTTCGAATACAATTGTTGGTACAAAAGGGTGCGTAAATATTTACGCGCCACAAATCATTGAATTTGTGCATTAGCTATATTTTCTGGGTGCCGAAACCGAAGCAAGTGGTATTCTCAGAGCCTTTGACGTACGGGTCTAATCCACAACGTGGTGGAGTAATGTTAGCAGATGTGGCTCCATGGTGCTGGTGGACACTACCAAGTTCACATTCCATTTGTTTCCTTTGGATCCTAAAGTCCATTCGTCCCATCGGTTCGAAATCAGAGTTTTCCAACTCCTTGGTGGATCCTCCGTACACAACAACCTGGTGTAAGCTCTGGACATTCGCTTGTCGTAAACAACACCTATGCCATCAGAAAACATTGTAGGGCTTCCAGCAATGGCCATGCATCCGTAACTATGTGAGAGCGTTTGAAGTATTATTGACGATACTTGAAATCTTTATTGTTGTCAGTTTAAACTTCTACCAATACTGGCATCAAGTCTTTTGTATTTCTAGTTTATATTAATGAACTTGGACAGTTACTGCCAACAATTATCCTTGTATCTGTAGAAATATATGTTAATTATTGTGCGACATTTCTTTAGGTACTTACTTATTACTGTTGGAGTTTATCATATTAAATGTTCCGATCTGTCGCGTCGTGAGATTCTCCGTGATTTAGTAGAAATGTGTTCTGGTGTACAACATCCTACAAGAGGTCTTTTCTTGAGGAGCTATCTATTACAATCACTAAGAAGCGATCTTCTGCCAGATACTGAGGTACTATTTAGTTGTATCTTTATTTCATAACTACAACAATTGAAGTTGTACATTTTTAAGTATAACCATTATTGAATCGTTTCAGAATCATACCATTAGTAACTTCACTTATTCATTCATATGCTTTTCTGGGATGTATTTGTTTTCATGCAGTCAAATCAATTAGTGACAGTTAGGTTTTCTGTTCGCACGTTTAGTGTGTGATGTGTGATAGTTAATTATCATACTCTAATTATATTACATCCGAGTTCCTAGCCTAGTTGGCATCATTAGATATAATGGGGAGGTATTTTAGTCAAATACTATCAAGATTTGATTTAATTCTATCCGTGAGTTGCACTGGGCTGTGTTCTCATCAGTTTAATCTGCTGCGCTTCAGTTCGACTATGGAATTAGTTTATTCAGACGTTAGCTACAACCAAATGCTGAACACGAAATACACCTTGTTACTAATGAATGATATGAAAAGCTCGTAGTTATATCTGATGACAACTTCATAGTTTAGACTCGTCTACAGAATAGTATCTGAGTGAGGATCTAACAAATTATTTGATGAATTCTCACAATCGACTAGTTTTTGAGTTACAAAATCAACGTATCAAAAATCAATCTTTTACAGTTATGGGAAAGTTTACAGTTGTCTTAGCATCTCAGTTTTTCAGTGTAATGTTAAAACCCATACTGCCGTCTTTAAGTAGCTCTGACCTCAGTGACTTTTCACAGTTTTGTGTAATTAGTGTGGAAATGAAATTTCCTGTTCTGCAAAAAATAATACTACGGAGAAACTTACGGAAGAGAAGCAAGAGGTCTGATTATCTTGTCAGTATCATATTGAATTTTATTATGGGTAGTATAATATGCCTGTCTCTTATTCACTTAGTATTTGTCGAAGTCAAATACTATAAGAAATTTGCATGTTTTGATTTCTAATGTATATGTGGCTTTTGCTTAATAAGCCAAGGTGATCAGCCTATGCTTCCATGTAAGTGGGTCTTATTAAAGCCTCGATTTAGTTTGCACCTATATCCTGTTAGTGTTTCTCATTAGGCTAACGTTAAATAAAAAAAAAACGATTAACAGTGATTTAAAAGTAATTAATGTTTTAACCTAGCAGTTTAGTGAGTAAAACTAGATGTTGAGTCTAAGTTTCAGTAGGAAAAATAAGCACTATTATTTCCTTACATCTAGTTAACAGCTACTAAATAGAACAATACACATACTCTACCGTTATCTACTGGCGAACACAGACTATTTTGAAATCATGTATCGATGTAACATTGATTTTATCTGTTTATTATTATGGACATTCTTAACTCCTATTTCGTTATATTTAGGACTTATCATCAACTCATGTAGCCGTAAATGCAGTGGAAGGTGGGGATAACGAGAATAGTGGTAAATTACCACTGGATGAAAATAAGTTGGATACTAATAATAATGATAATAATAACAAAAATAATAATGATAATGAACAGAAGATTAGTCAAAAGTCAACTCCTGTGTACTTGCAAGGAACAATTACTGATAGTATTAATTTCCTATTATTCAATTTTTCGGAAATGAATAAACTTTGGGTACGAATGCAACACCAAGGACATACTAGAGACCGTGAAAAGCGAGAACAAGAACGCCGAGAATTGCGTCTACTTGTTGGTGCGAATTTGAATCGATTATCTCAACTGGAATCAATTGATGTTGGGCGTTATAAAACAGTAAGACCTCTAGTGTAATTTTTTTTTGATTCATGTCAATGTTTGCGAACTTAAGGTATTCACTAAATACGTCGCTACTCATCTCATCAATAACATTGCAAATATGAAAGTCTCCTTTATATGAAAATTCAGCAACATATCACAAGTCTATTCTGAGATCTATTGTATTCAGTATTAATAATCAAAAGGAATCACTGAGAAAAAAAAACTACACAAAATAAAATTGTTTATAAATCTTCCTATCGAATATATGAAAGTGGTTGTCTGAGGCTATGTTTACAATTTAACCTTTTGAAAAAAGAGTTTCCATAATTGAACCTGATTTTGTTTCCAGTGAACACAATTAAATTATAAGACCCAATCCCCCAGTCATATCTACTTTTATTCATGATATATATTCTTCGGTTCGGGCAATCGGATAGTATCATTAGCTCATACTCAAGTACCTAGTAAATGAGTTAATTACGTATTCATGATATATGGCACCAAAGATATGTATTTTCTCTCATACATTCTCTTAAATTTCTTGAAGCGTACGTTTTCAAATTATAGAGAATATTATCAGCAGTAAATACTTTTGCTTACTAACTTACTTACTTACTTATGCTTACCAATGCATCACTGTAGTTTTCTCCTAATTGCATCATACTCATCAAAATCCATGACATAACAACTCAACCAATCTTCATTGTTTCGTTTTTCTATGTGTAGTTAGTAGGAAGTATTCCAAACCTACTTCAAGCTCGTTAGTCATAAGCTAAATGTCGCCTTATAATTATTCTCATCTCATCTTTGCAGCTTGATAATAGTCTTTTTAATCAAGCTACTAAATAATTCAAGTATTTTGTAAATTAAACCTTAGTTACTCATTCCTGTTACCCCTGATATAGCATAGGTCTCTCTCTGACTAGCATTCTCCAGTCTACTCTGTTTTGGGTCAATTATTATTCATTCTTTTGATGTCTGCTTCTAATTTGTTCTTTGGTCTCACCCTTTTCCTTTGGCCTTGAGGATTCTGATTCGGAGCTCATTTTGCGATGCATTTTGACAATTTCTGCAATGTGTATCCTATTCACCACTGCTTTTTTCTTGATTTCCTCTTAGCTGTAATGTGGTTTGCTCTCTCAAACAGTAGGCTGTTGTTAACAGTGTCTGACCAACGGATCCACAGTATCTTGCGTAGAAAACTTTTAATAAACACCTCTCTTGTGAATGATGGCTTTCGTGGTTGTCCAACTTTCTGCTGCATACCAGAAAACTGTCTTGCTGTTTGTTTTGATTGTATTGTTTTGAGTTCCAGATGTTCTTTAGTTATGGAAATGCTTTCCTTGCTTTGCCAATCCATACTTGCTGGCAAGCTTCTCCGTTTTGTCATATAGTTGTCCCGTGTTTCCTTCTCTTGCAGCAGCTTTCTTTCTTCAATCTTATCCAGTCTATCACCACTAATCCATTCCCTGTGATGGTACTTCTTGTGGCCCAGAACCTCATGACATGTTGAAGTTATTGCTTCTTTGATCCCTTTCCAATTATTCTCAATAGCATTTTCCTCACCATTGAGTAGATCATGAAAGGTTCTGAGCTTATTGCTGAGGTTTATTTTGAATTCCTTGATTTGCCGGTATCCCAAAGAAAGATCGTGTTCAACTTTTGTAATGCTGCATACACAGTTATGCAGTGCTTGTTTAGTTTCAGTTTCATCTTGGCCGTCAGTGGGTGATGATCTGAAGTCAGCTCCTCTCTTGGTCCTTACGTCCTCCATGGTCTATCTGAAGTTTTTATTGATGCAGATGTGGTTGGTTTGTCTATGTGTAGTGTGATCTTGTGAAAACCATGTGGCTTTATGTGTATTTATGTGGGGATATGGTTCCGCCTATGACTAGTTTGTTGAAGGCGTATAGGTTTGCAAATCTTCCACCCTTTTCGTTCGTTTCAGTTCATGTCGTCCCATAATGTCATCATATCCAATGTTGTCCATTCCAACTTCAGTGTTTAGATCTTCTGCTGAAATGATCAGGTCTTGTGCTGGGCATTTCTCTAAGATCGACTGCAGCCTCTTATTGAATTGATGTTTATCGTGCTCACTGTCTTTGTTGGTGGGTGCACAACACTGGATGACATTTATTGTAATCCTCTCTTTCGTCGTCTTGAAAGATGCCTTGGCTATCCTGGGTCCATGAGATTCCCATCTCATAATTTCTTTTCGTACTAATTTAAACAGAATCGATACAGCTCCGCATGTACGAAGCGTTTTATTTGTGGCTAAAGTACAACGTAATCTCTACTGAAACTAATCTTTAATCCACTTTGCTTCTAGTATGTTCCATTTATTCCAAGCACGTCCAGGTTGTATCTTTTCATTTCTGCAGCAACTCTCCCGATCTACCAAATTTTGTGAACATTCCATGTACCTGTATTTATGGTTGCTCTAGTTGTCAAAAGGATCATCAGCCTCATGACTTTCGATGAAACTCGTCTCTCATTATGAGGCGTAACAACTCTTCTAAATGAAGATCTTCCAGTTTGAAGGGTGGAATTTAAATGGTCTGAGTTATTTGTTCTGGTTAACAATTTTTTAGCAAGTTGGTTTTCTACGCAATGGGGTCGCTAACCCCATTCCCAACCCTCTTTTATCCGAGCTTTGGGCTGGCAGTAATCACAGAAGGGTTCCAGGCAGGATCAAAGTCTCCCGCACCGAGATTCGAACCTAGACCGCTCAGGAGAGTGCCAATAATCCTAATCGCTAGATAATGCATGAAAATTAAACCATTTCCTAATAAGTATAGACAAGCATGAAATCCTCTTCTCTAAAAATTAAATCCTAATTCTCCACATTACGCTTTAATTTTGAATATATCATTTATCTTTTGGGTGATGGTCTTGAGGTATTACGAAATAATTTAAGTTAAGATTACATCGTGCAGTTGGATTTGTTATCAGTCTCTCTGCCTGTTGAGAATACTGGGGTTGTGTGCAGATACTGCTAGGAAATCTTCAGTTAGTCACCAACACTTACACAAGTGAAACAAAATAGCTGTCCAGTTCTCTCCAGTTTTCATCTAATTTTCAACAGATGTCAATCTAAGATGGAAAATACTTCAAAACTGTTATAGTATATGCAAACTACACAACTTAAACGTTTTTCTTTTTTAGCAAGTTCTGCCGCCAATTTTGGAACAGATTATTGAATGCCGTGATGTTATCGCACAAGAATATCTCATGGATGTGATCATACAGGTAAGCTTGTATTTAAAATTGGTAGACTATAAAGGGAATAATTTCGAAAGATTATTTTATTAGTTTCAATGGCAAGCAGTGATTCATAAAGTTTAACTGTGTTGATTGCAAGGCAAATTTTTCACTAATGATGTTGGGAGATAGTTATGAAATATCGCGAACTAGTTGAAGTTCAGTATGTAAACCATTGAACACCCGGTCACTGGTGTAGATGTTAGATCTTTCGCTCGCGTAATTGAAGTGTTTGAGTCAAATATCTGATGGAATTATTTGTGCATCATAAGAATTCCCCAATTTTCAATTTATTTGCTGGAAATACTCTATATCTTCAGTATTGTGTTATTTAGAGGTATTTACCGGAAATAATGTTTGAGAAGTTCTATATTCCACAAAATTTAAACTGAGCTAAAAGGTGGTTATATATATGACATTGGGAAACTGGATTGTTGACTGTTCTGGTTATCAAATCATTCAGCTGAACTGTATAAAAGTTATGCAAAATATAACATTTGTCAATCAACTGACAATTCAGGGAAACATTTTTTATTTTCCAGTAAAAAGTAATTTGTTTACCAATTATTCTGTTTTGATCGCTCATTTCCCAATTCATCGGGATGATCAATGCATCATTCTTGAATTTTAATCCATTCAAAAGGTTTTTCCTGATGAATTTCATTTGGCCACCCTACCTTTATTGTTACGTACTTGTAATCACTTACAAGCTGGTGTCAAGCTGAAGCCGATTATTTGCAGTCTTATTGATCGGTAAGCATTATTCTTTACCAAAGTCGTGAAAACGTGTTAATTTTGATTTGTTGCATTGGTGACCTTTTTATTATGATAAGTTCCAGCTTTATAATGACGAAATGTTTTATAGATTTTGAATTTTAGCACTTTCTCGTATAATTTCTTTATTAAAGGCTGCTGTTTACTTTATCATACATTTTTTTGGCTTCTATATGATTTGTTCATGTTTTCATCTTGATCAATTCAAATGAATTACGTGAATCAAAGAGCATTAGACAAGAAAAAACACAATAAGTGATTCAAAACTGATTACTCACTTCATCAAGGCACAAGGTAGGTGAGAAACGCTCTAGTAGATATGCTGTTGTGAACTGCTTGTTTGGAAAAGGTTGGGGCTTAAAATTTTCTACATTTCTTAGTCATGGACCTCATATCGTTAAGAGTTAGATAACGTATATTCTGTCCACCTAAGAAGCATAATACAGCATCCTGTCAACTCTGTAAAGTACTAAATTCTTTGAATTTTAATGTTGGCCCACCAACTATTGAATAGATCAGTATTGCCATCAGGCAATTTAAGAGCGGCAAATTAACAAGACCAGACAACGTTCCAGAAGAGGCACTGAAAGCAAACACAGCAGCAACTGCAAAAATACTCCACATTCTCTTCAGAAAGATTTGGGAGGAAGAACAAGTGATAACAGACTGGAAAGAAGGACGCCTCATCCAGATAACCAAGAAAAATGATCTGAGCAAGTTTGAGAACTAAAGAGGCATCACTGTTTTTCTCAACACCAGGAGTGTTTTCAACCAGAATGAAGGACTCCATAGTCGCACAAATTTGAGATCAACAGGCTGGATCCCGTAAGGATTGATCGTGTACCGACCAAATGGCAACATCACGATACATTGTGGAACAATGAACTGAATTGAATTCACCACTCTACATCAACTTCATTGACTACGAGAAAGCATTCGATTGTATGGATAGGACAACATAGTGAAAGCTTCTTAAATACTACGGCATGCCTAAGATAATGGTGTTTCATCATGAGACATCATGACTCTTCTAAATGAAGACCTTCCAGTTTGTAGGGCAGAGTTTAGATGATTTGAATTAATTTTTCTGTTTAACGTTGGCTTAGGGAGTTAGTTTTGTACGGAGTGGTGTGTCTAACCCCATGTCCATTCCTCCTCCTTTATCTGGACTTGGGATCGGTAGTAGCCCCAGATAGACTCCAGGCGGAGTTATTGACATATATAATCATTCTGTTTAAAAATCACTCAGTTATATACACTCCTCTGTGGAACATGAAGAAGGCGGGTCGACTGGAGAACGGTAACACTAAAAGCAGCAACTGAAGGTTTGAGGGCGAAGTGGTGCTGCTCACTGTGGAGGGTGTGACAGCAGTAATGTGTATCCGTCGGCTACCCAGCATCTGCATCGACGCTGCCTTTTCAAAATGGAAGGAAGGGGTTAGAAAAAGTCGACTTCAAAATGTCACACCTTACCTTACCTCACTAATTTCCTTCTCCGACGGTAAGCCTATTTGAGTCACTCAGTTACAACGTAGAGCTTCGTACGTACGTACATCAGTTCATGTTTCCATACCACATTAGCATACAGACACAATTGTCAATTCAGATTAAATAGAAGAAGAGGTAGTAGACGTTTTAGCAGTGATTGATCATCGAATCTTTTATTCGAGATGTATACGTCAGAGAAATTGATTAAAAAAAAGAAAACGCGGTTATGAAGAATTCAGAAGATTAGGATTTGAAAGAACACAAAGAATGGATTCATCTGTGCCATTGTAAACGGTTTTCAGCCATGTCACTCAAGGTCTCTAACCATCGGTGACTTCCGTCTCACGGACCCCAACCAGGTAGCCTACATTTACCAACATGACTCAATCCATTTGTCAGTGACTCCATGGATTTGTGCCATGCTTATATTTGGCCGCCCTTAACTTTCTTCAAACCTACTCCTACACTGTAAAACATAGCTCGACGAGGCAGTCGGTGTTTGGGCATTCGTAACACATGTCCCAACAATCCCATCTGACGAAGTTTCACTCCGCCTGGAGCCTCTTCAGGGCTGTATATTCCTAAACAGATGCAGACAAAAAGTAGTGTTTCCAAAAGAAATCAAAACAAATGAGAGTACGCATTGAAAGTCATGTTGCTTAATAATTTGACTTAGTAGTTGAGAGAATGTAATGCTTCGATAACACTAAACTCTGGTGTGTTGAGCTATACATTATGAGGATCTATGGTGTTGCTATACAGTAACCCAAACCGAATTAGGTGGGATGAGACTCAAACCATCAAACTATTAACTGAAAGTCGAATATTTTAACCAAAATATAATTGCCAACTACGTCAATGATTCTTAAAATGAAATCACAAAGACTTCCTTTATTGTATTGATAAAGATTGAACAGTTAGTGAAGTCGAAATCCTCTCTCTCTCTCTCTCTCTCTCTCTCTATATATATATATATATATATATATATATATATATATATATATATATATATATATATATATATAGATTTATATGGTGAATAATGACGTGATCAGTTAGAGTGCAAATGACATTTATATTGATTTTCTTCCAAATAATCTATGTCATTTAATTGAGAAGTAATGCCTAACTGTACAATATTTTAAATGTGTTTACACAATTAGATTATGCAAATCTTACAGTAAAAATATCATATGAAAAATGACGCATCCATATATTATATTGACTTATTTTTCGGGGTCGAACAAATCCATGTACAGCAGTCTGTGTGTTCGCTAGACGTCGTCGGATTCGACATTTTCGTTACCAGCTACAGGCTAGTTAGGCATATCCACCATGTATACAAAATTTGAGAGACATAACAGTTATCAGTAACTAAGAGGCTTCATTCAGGGTGATCAACACCTCTCCCATTGGTAGTCAAGAATTCGAGTCGACGTTTACTCTGATCGTATGAATACATTTATCTAATATTTTACGGAAATAAGAAGTTAAATTTATAAAACATTTTTTCGGGAAAACACGAGGTGAGCTTATGCAATAAACAGATAGGATAACTAGCAGAGTTAATCGCAGCTAGCTACTTGATTGGACGAAAGCCAACCTTACTGTGAAGACTCGTATTGAAATGATGATCGACTTATTTGACTTCGACATGATAATCTTATTACGATAGCGTATTGTTGTGTTTCTACCGCCTAGTATTCTACTGATACAATACTCTATTTAAATAACCTGAAACCAGAACACGAATTCGAAGAGAACGGGAATATACACTCCGAAAAGCAAAATACATGATAAAAATGTTAGCGTGTTCCTACAAAATGGACACAAGGATTAAATGTTTTTTCAATCCAATCATCAGTGTTGATTAGTATCGACCACATGATTGATGCTTTATAATTTTAGTAGTGACTACTTGAGAAACGGATGAAGCAGTGGCTAAGTTGTTAAGGGATTCAAATTTTAAACATTAAGCCACAAGTTCAAACCCTGCTTCACCTACGCTAATCTAAATTTAGTACTTTTACCCATAAAAATGACTCTAACCAGGCAACATGAATCTGTATTTGGCGAGTTACATAGAATTTCATAAAAATCTTTACTGTATTTAGCAAAGATCCTTATCGTAATTTTAAGGTAACTAATCCCACAGAAAGAATGAATGATTTGGATAGATGAGGGACTTTAATTTTCCTATCTGCAAATAGAATGTATGAACTGTAAATTTTTAGTTGACAAATTTGTTTTAAATGAATTGTTACAGGTAGGTGTCTATAAGTTTTGTGGCGGCTGTCTTGACACTATATCATAAACTCGAGCATAGTTTTTTTTTTCACCAATACTTTATGCATCTTTGGATTAGTTACATATCTAGAATATTCTTTTCAAAGAATAAGTCAGGGTATTCATGTTTGTCAGAGTATTTCCTTTTTCATATGGCAGCATACTCAAACTGGGTTTGTAATTTTTACTAAGATATTGTTTTGTGATATTAAAAACAGTGTTTGTTGATTAGAAAATAAGATGCAATTCAGAAATTGATTATTATTAATAACCTATCTAGATTGACCGTACACACCCTATTATTTTTTCCTCTTAACAAACTTATGATACAGTTCAATGATTTCTTAGTATTGTGAATACTACACTTCATATTGAGTCTCGATAATTCTTAGATATTGATTATAACTCTGAACAGCAGCTATCCTTTGAACTAATCACTGCTTATATTAAACACAACATTCAACGCATTTTATGTACCGTTGGATAGAGGGTAGCAATATAATCCAGCATGCGCGTTAGCAGTAATCGGAAATTTTAGGATTCGACAATATTATTCAAGATGTAGTAGATAGTGAAATAAACTTTAGAAGACAAGATAAAGTGATAAGGAATTCAGAAGATTAGGATTTGAGAGAACATAACGAGTGAATGCACTTGCGCCATTGCAAACGATTTTAAGCCACGTCATTCAAGGTCTCTAACTATCGGTTACTTTAATCTCGCGGATTCCAACCAGGTAGTCGACACCTACAAACATGACTCAGTCCACTTGTCAGTGACTTCATGGATTTGTGCGATGTTTTGGTCTGGCCGCCCCTAGCTTTCTTCCAGCCTACACCTACACCGCAAAACATAGCTCGACGAGGCGATCGGTGTTTGAGCATTCGTAACACATGTCCCAACTACCTCAACTGATAAAGTTTCACTACTTCATCTGCTGACTTGCCATCCTTACCATGTACTCATATCTTACGACTGCATTGGTCACTCGATAGTCACAAGATAAACGAGCAGTTCTTCGGAGACACCTATGATCGAAAACCAGTAACCTACTGTTGTAATGCTGCTTAAATATAATTTCCGGCTAAATCCTATTGCTTAGTATTCTCTGACCACAATACACTGGACAAGTTCCCAAGAATCAAAAACACGGTTGAACGGGAAAAGATTATATTACAAATAGCAAGGTTAAATGGAAATAAGAAGCCAAAGGTGATGACGTAGGCGAAGGCAAAGAAGGCCAAAAATAGATACAACGTTAGTTTATTTATAGCATTTACATGAGAAGCTTCTGGATGGAAATTCATGTGATCGACTGCATTAGATTTAGCCAATCAGCACGCAGCTAACAATACGAGAATTTACTATCCTGTTCTCCAAGAATCGATCAGGCGCTGATTGGATAGGAAATTAGCCAATCAGCGCTCAGCTGACGCAGTCACGCTTTATTTCCATCTATGTCCCACTAACACCTACGAATATCTTCTACTCTGATTGGTCATGTTTCGCAGCTGTAAAGTAGGACGGAGCGAACTGAACACTCGTCCTTTGGTTAGCAAAAGGATATCTCACCTACGTCATAAATGACGCAAAATGGGAAAAGTCAGTTGAGACTACTGTATCCGTGCTGTTATTTTGTCAATCACCAGGCCATCAGCGCTAATGAGACTCTCGAAGTAAGTGAAGCGTTCGACAAGCTTGACAAGATATATATATGTATATATATATATATATATATATATAATTTAATTCCTTCCGTTGTAAGTAGCTGATGCGAAACCATGAAATATAATGAATTCACATTATTCTACCTTAATTGTTTTTATGGCTTTATTTCAATATCAATGACTTTATGAACCGATTCTTTCAAACCATTCCTACACCAACAAACAGTGTGTATCAAAATAGATGGTGATTGAACATGCACAATACCTTGTCCCAATTACCTAATCAACTGATTTACTATCTTTAACTATTACTCTCTGTTCAGCCTTATTAACATTCCTCACTCAACGATCCTAACATATGAAAATAACGCTTTTAAGGCATCTAGTAGTCTAATTTTGCCTGAGACATCAGAGTAATATTACTTATACCCTTCTTCATGCAATATAGATTTAATTCAATCCTTTGTACATTAGCTATTTACATATATTGATTAATATTGTTTTGCTATATATAACTTGCCAGTTATTATTCTTGTTATTTCTCTTTCTTACTGTTAGTTTGTCTAAACATGTAGCTACTGAATTAGAAGCTGGACGTGAATTAAAAATTGAAGTATCACATAATCATTATTCACCAATTAATAAAAAGAAAACTTTTCATAATAATAATAATAATATCAACGGTAATGAAAATCATGGCAATGGTTCTTCTTCTAATCATAGTGATGAAGACATAAATTTATCAACATGTCATGATGATCAATCAACAACAAACTCTAATAATCAAGAGGAGAAAATACATGAAATGGATACAATTACAGCATCTACTGTGGCTACTTCCACTGATATTAATGCACCATCCACTGCTAATCATCGATTGTCAACTACGACGACGCCGGCAACAACCACAACGGATCTTTTCTCTTTATTCTTCTATGAAATTAATCAAATTATTCGTACACGTTTAACATTATGTGAATTAACATTGAATAATTTACAATTAGCCTCGTCTAATATGAAAACTCGTCCTACATTACAAACTGCCGCAATGATGAATGGTTTACCATTGGAAGATATTCCAGCATTCTATTCCGTTTTAGTTTATTTAGTAATGATAATTCGTCCAAATAATTGTTCTTCTCTAATTGATATTTGTTTAAATGCTACAGCCGATGCATTGAATCATATTGGTCTAGTTCTGTAAGTTAATGATCACAAGAGAATAAAAGACTGTTTGTTAACCTTTATTCATGCTCAGTTTGTTTTTAATCTTGAAACTATGTGTCTAAGACCATTTCAACTAAAAATTTTTTTTACTTCTAGTTTTTAAACATAATGATTTGCGCAGTTATGATAATCTTGAACAAGTGCTTCCTGGTATTGATCTAATATTACACTGACCTATCTCTCATCGGCATCTGATAAATTTATTTGCTTGAATTCGTTTTAAAAACATATACTATTAGCAGAAAAAATGGAAATATAGCTAGTAATAGAAGCCAGGATAAATGTTGTAATCTATATTCAAGTGGTATCCTAGTGGTAATTTACACTCTGCTACTCAGAGCCCATTTCACTTCAAATACCCAACAAGTTAGCCACTGTTTCAGGTGGCTGTAAGATGAACAACAGGCAAAAAAAGACTATTTGACATTCAGACAACAATTTGTGATAATTGTTAATACCAGTGGGTAGGTTGATGTTTTGATTTATTTCCAATGGAATACTAGTGAAATACTTCTTTCCTTCGACATTAACTAGCTTGTAAAAGTGAATAGTAAAAAATTTCACCCTTAACTTTTTTTGAACAAGTTGATAATGATGGAAATCATGAATCGATCAGTGCTATACCACCATTAGAAACTTAAAAGCACTGGAAAGCAGTTCCTTCCTCATCAACTGTGCATATCCGCGACTCGATGAGCGGAAATGTAACCGAGGACCTCCGGTCTGGCGCTTGAATGCTTAATCTCTTGCATGCTGAGCTGGCACCCGATAGCGTTAGTCCCACTTGAATCGATCCACCCTACTGCGCGGCCCCATCCATTTCCTTTGGTAGGTAACTGCTTCACACTCGACGAAGTTGAACACCGCTGGTCCCGCGGGACTGAAGGTCCTGGATCCGATTTCTCTTTGCGGATCATGGTCGCGCACTGCTAACGAGACCCATATTAGGAGGAAACGAAAAGTCCATTGCTTCTAGGTTTCTACTGCTAGTCTAACATTGATCGATTGATGACTTCGATAAAACCCAACAATCTCCAAAACACTGTAATGCCAAAGGTGATAATGGCTAGTTAGTTCGTTTTAAGGACATTTGAAAACATACCGAACATAGTAAGGTTAAACAGTTAAAACTTTAAAAGTAGAGGAGACTTGGTGAAAATGTTGCTTTATAATTGTGTGTATACATAATTACTGGAATCGATTACTGTTCAGTAATGCTTGAATTTAATCCCATTCATGGTGGATAGCTCTCATAGAAACATGATTGCATCAGTCATTCATTCACCAATGGCTTTTATTTCTGTTCAACGATTGGAAATAGCCGACAGATAGTATAATACACGAAATGATCGATACTCGCCAATGGGATTAATCGTCACTCATTGGTGATACAATGTTTCTCACTGGATTCAACCTTGTGTAACTCAGTACCGCGAGTGGGTATGGTAACACTATTCAGATAGCGATGAGTTGCCTGTGGGATTGAACTGTTTAAAAATTTGTATTATAACTGCTAAGGCGATATATTAAACTCGTAACTCTAATTAAAATTGAAGTATCGAAATTCCACTGAACTACAATCCTACTGATCAACACAGTGATGTTGATTTTCGTCTCTTCATGTTGAATGTCTCAATGAGTGATAAAATCTAATCTATTGAAATATATTCCAATGTGTTTTTCAACCAACCTCGTCCTAGTTGTTATTTGTCTTTTAAAACTGTATTAATAACAATGATATTAATTTAGAAAAGATAACCTGAGTAAACAAATGTGCTTCTATTCACAGGATACCATCAGGGTCCTCATTGTCACGTGATTTACTTCGCCTGCTTTATCTACCATTGGACGGTTCATTTCCTCAATCAATGAGTGGTGCTCATCGTTCAAGTGCACCGGTAACAGCACTTTGTGATCTACGCACTGTACTAGGAATGTCCGGATTTCGACGTTTAGTTTCATTATTAGATCCAAAAACTACCAAATGTCGATTAGCCTATGACCTATTGAATGCTGCTTTGGAACATGATCAACGTCAAGTGCTGCAATATACTCACAGTAATAACAAACATGATTCAAATAGAAATTCGTCATCACCATGTGCTTACTTGTCGTCACGTTTAACTACTGAAGAAGATTTAGACAATTTATTTGAATTGATTGATGGATTACTCACAACTGATCCGAATGCATGTCAAGATCCGAGTGAATTTGTTGAAGCACAAAGTTTAGTCGCTGGTATGCTGCATATTCTAGGACCAAGTCCTAAAAGCCTAGATCCAGATATGTGTTTTAAATTGCTTACAAAAGCTCAATTACGTTTAGAACAAGCTGGACATGCAGTTGTTCGTTTCAATTTCCCTGCATTGGTATTTCAGGTAATATATATATGTAATCGAGAATAGGTTATTGTCGTATCCCTAAAATTTTCTTGGTTTGTGTTCACCTTTCACTAAATTTTCTTCAGATTATTAATATCATTAAATGAGTGGTTGGGACATGTGTTACGAATACCCAACCACCGACTGCCGCGACGGGCTATGTTTTGCAGTGTAGGAGTAGATTGGAAGAAAGCTAGGGGCGGACAAACCGAAACATGGCAAAAATCCATGAAGTCACTGACAAGTGGACTAAGTCATGTTGGTAGATGTAGGCTACCTGGTTGGGGTCCGCGAGACGATAGTCACCGATGGAGAGACCTTGAGCGACATGGCTCAAAATCGTTTGCAATGACGCAAGTGCAAGTTTGTGTTCTCTCTAATTCTAACCTTCTGGATTCCTCATCATCTCTATATTTCTCCTTCTAAATTTATGTCACTGAATTATACTCCTCGAATCATATCTTCGCTCTCGAATCTTCTCCACTACTCTCTAATACTTCTACTATCTCTATCACTCTTGGATTTGAACTGACAGTTGCGTCCCTGTGCTGATGTGGTATGGCAACCTGAACTGATGTACCTACGTACGAAGTTCTGCTTTGTATCTGTCTGTCTGTCAGATGAGTGGCAATAAATTGAATATGTGAACGTAAGAAATAACATTAACAGTACGCAAATAATAAATGACTACACTAAATAATTGTTAGCTTAGACTAGAGAATTATTTAAGATGATAAACTTAGTACCAACAGTTGACTCAGTGTGGACAAACTCAAAAATTATCAGTTTAGTATGCCTGAACAATTTAAAGGTTGTACTAACCAATGAGAGCAGTTAGTTTACGATGAACCTGTGAAGTTACTGGTTATCGATTTTTTGGCGAGCTGGTTTTGTAGGGGATGGGGTCGTTAACCTCGTGGCCAACCCTACTCGTTTGTCCGGGCTTGGACCCGGCAGTAACCATAGAGGGGTATCAGGCGTTGTAAACCTATGAAGTACATGAAAGGAAGTAATGATCGATATACTGTGGTGCGAGCTACTTATAAGTAGTATATGACGTGAGTGTCAACGTAATGTCTGGCAGCAGAAGATGGGGGAAGATCAAGAAAGGAAGAGTTAGAACACAATGGAATTTGTATGAAACGCATGAATAGTGACAATGGATTGATGTTTTGCAACAGGAACAGTCCAGTTCGATATGATCGACTGATATTTTGCAAATTAACGATTTACAATATGGTTTTCCTATTTTACTGAGTAACTCTGTAATTTCCGTTAAATACAATTCGGTTGCCCCACCTGTGTTCTCGTTCACAACAATACTAGCTGCTCATAAATAATATAATCATAATCAACGAATCTTGCATTCTGCGCAAATATTTTTTAAGCATTGAAATCTTTCATACACTGATTAGTTCATCTGAGACTGTAACAATCAAATTAACAGACAAACACTATCCAATTTCAAATATTCACTTAGTCTACTCAACCTCAATTTCTAACGGTTGCGAGTTAGTTAACTAAAAAGTTATGGGCTATTTTAAAAAAATCAAACTGCTTTTTGTGTTTCTTTCTACCAGTTATAAAGATGAAAATATGTATTAAAGATAAATTCACCGTGCATTTCTAGTTTCTTCTAAATGTTAAATGATCTGTTGTTTACAGTATGTATTTCATCTTTGCGTGAATATTTTCAATAAAAAACGTCACTTACTTTCAATAAGTTAACGATTGTGATTGAAATTTGTTTTCGAAACAGACAAACCATGTAAGGTTTCAAACGAAAAATACGATAAACTACTACTGCACTTTCTATTGGCAGATGTCAAACGACTCACTGAACATGTTAAAATTTTTCATTATAGTGTTCAAAATACTAGATCATTTTTACCATATGCAATAAATGAAATATTCTCTTATATGTTCAAAGTTAACCAAAGAATCTCAGGTTGACAAACAAAACAGGACTGTGGAGTAGATATTCTAGATTGAACATAAGAATAAAATTATTGAGGATGTAACTGTTTGGTTATGAAAGCATGTATGTCAATTTATCTGTTTGTCTGAAAATCTACTTTGCAACTGCGAATCAAGTTTTCGGTAAGAAAAAGTATCCTCTAGCAGCAATAAGCCAATCAGAATCAGAAATAAAACCTCAGGATTTTTGTGATAAATGCAAATTCTACGTATAACAAACAGTGAAAATATCTCTGTGTACTGCTAAAAATGTTTAAAATTGTTGGAGAAAATTGTTTTTTTGCTACCATGAAGTAAAAATTGCAGTGTTATTAACCGTATCAAATGCGTAATTTTGTATCTTTCAATTGGTATGAACCTATTGACGCTATACTTAAATCTTGACTGTAAACCCTTGATTCCGTAACAAACTCAAATTTAAGGGCACTTATGGACGAACTAATCATATGGCACTTCTTATATTGTTGAGTAAAACTCACTAATCCATTGGTCAACGGGGTACTTTTGCATTAGAGCTGGTGTGATTAAGACACCAACCCCTAAATACTTAAACGTAATATGGAACAATGTGCAGACATAAAAATCTGTTTATTTCCTTTCAACGGGTTCATGAGTATAGATAGGTAGGGTTTATATAGTTGTTTTAGATTTTCAGACAAAATAACCTGTAAAAATCCATTATTAAACTTAAATAATTGTGTGAAATCTGTTTATGCTTTTCAATGTTAACGTTTAGTTTTCCATAAATTATTCATTTCTAAAAGCTATTTTCTGATTAGCTAACCACTGGCTGGAAAATTCCTGCGATTGTTTTAAGCTTGTCCCCATACAATACTTTGTTGTGTTAGATGATGATAAGGCTTTCATATTAGTAACATTTATATTGTGTTGCCTATTACTTCTTCAACTTTAATAACAGACATTTTTGATTAAGGTTACTTGTTTTGCTGATTGAATCGGCATAATAGAACACTATAGTCATTGATTGATCGTACTGATGTTTTGACCACAGGATATATTCGTAAGTCTTAAATAAGCGAATTCTGAACTATGAAACCATTAGACCAACTGACTGAGTATATGAAAATAGATTTTGTTCATGGGTCCAGATTATCCACTATATTTTCAGTATCCCATAAAACTGCATTAGATCCAACACTTTCGGTTATTTTTCCCTGCAATATTGGGTCAGTACGTCACATTCAGCTATTATTTTCACTAAAGGTTCTACTTCAAGAGTCTGTAATTATTCACAGCTATTTGATAAGAACATGCCCAGTGTAGCACAGCACACTGCTCTATGCAGTACTCATTTATTGTACCATCATGACGTAACAGATAACCTCAACCTAGTTGTCCATGCAAAATATTCAGCAATATAGGTTCAACAGTTCAACGTAAACTGTTCCTTGTCATTCAACAAATAGAATAATCAATGATGCAAGTTAACATCACAAGACAACGAATATTTACTCATCGTTTCTGTCTGTTAAAACAACAATCAAGAACTTTTATTCCATTCAATTTTCATTGATGTTATTACTACGACTATCATTGTTTTTGTCTGCAGAGTCTTCAATTAATACAAACATATCATGAATTACGTGGTCAAAATTCCAATTGGGAAGAAAATGTTACAAATGTTGTGCGATTTTGTCATCGTTGTTGCACGTGTTTAGTTGCGGCGGATGCCTCGGAATCAGCTTTACGATTATTTGTGTACTCAGCATTGGTGATTGATAAAATACACTTTACAAATCAAGAATCAATGATATATGAGTTTATTTCACAAGTTAGTGTTTCTTTTGCCTTACTGTTTTAATAAATAATACTTGTCAAGCAACACGTTGTATCTATTGATTAAAATTCAATAATGTTAATATCATCTTGTTCTTTAGCTTTCCATGGATAAAGCCAAGAGTTGATTGGCCATGACTTTCCAGATCACATTTATATATCATTTTTAGTAGGAATTCGAATAAGTTAATTGCCATATGGTGGACACAGTAATTCATTGGATAATGCGTTTGTCTGTTTGCATTGTAAACAGAAGGCAGTGGGTACGAGTCCTAATGTGAGCATCAATATATATACAACCTATTATACAAAATCATACTTATTGGCTGAGCTTGTACAATGAATGCAACAACAAGGTTATTTAGTACACCAGTAAAAAATAATTTCACTTTTTTTTCTCTATATTTATGCAAGTTCATCATAATTCTTCTCACTGAGTACAAGTTCATTTTTTCAGTAATTCATTCGAAAAAAAACAAACAAATGAATAGCAATTCCTTGTCTAGTTTCTGTTTTGTTGTTGTTGAATTGTTTCTCCATGTTCCATTTTAGGCGCTTACACTTTATGAAGAAGCTGTTTCAGATTCTCATGCACAAGTTGAAGCAATTGCACTAATTACTAGTACTTTATATCAAATTACTTGTTTCACTGGTGATAATCAATGCACCTTACGTACTCAATGTACACGAGCTGCAACACGTCTCTTACGTAAACATGATCAATGTCGAGCAGTTTGTGCAAGTACATATTTATATTGGCCAAGTAAACCGTTAATTAGGCAAGGAATTAAACCAAGTCTACTTATCCCTGTGACAGACAATAATCCGGAGATTTCAACTTATGCAAAATTAACTGAAGCTGAAGAATTACCCGATGAATATTACAATAAAGTAATGTCAAAACATGGTTTATTTTTTTTAATTTCATATCTTACACCTTAAATAATTAATACAAACTATCCATGATTGATTCCAATCCCTAGTCAACCAGTACCAATGATGTGGTAGTCGCGATCGCATATCATAATGTGCTCATAGAGTCACACTATTTGGGACAACTGTAGTTCGCTCCGTCCTACTTTATGGCTGTGATACATAGCCAGTGAGAATAGAAGATATTCGTAGCTTACTGGTTTTTGATCATAGGTGTCTTCGAAGCATTGCTCGTATATCTTGGGACAAACGAGTGAGCAACGCTGGTAAGAATGCAGATCAATGGATGAAATATTGAAACTTCATCAGTTGATATGGTTGGGACATGTGTTACCAATACCCAAACACCGACTGCCTCGTCGAGCTATATTTTGCGGCGTAGAAATAGGCTGGACGAAAGCTAGGGACTGCCAGAACAAAACATGGCATAAATCCATGAAGTTACTGACAAGTGGAGTGAGTCATGTTGGTAGATGTAGGCTACTTTGGTTGGGGTCCGCGAGACGAAAGTCACCGATGGTTAGAGACCTTGAATGACATGGCTCAGAATCGTTTGCGATGGCGCAGGTGCATCCACTCTTTGTGTTCTCTCAAATCCTAAACTTTTTAATTCTTCATCACTTTATCCTTATCTTTTTAAGTCTATTTCACTAGATTTTACATCTTGAATAATATCTTCTAATCCTAATCTCTCCGACCACTGCTAATACCTCTACTACTATTGGATTTGAATTGACAATCACATCTTTGTGATGAAGTGGTATGGCAACATGAACTGATGTACGTACGTATAAAGTTCTATGTTGCTATTGATTGATCGTTATCTGAGGACATATTTATACAAAATAAGTAACACACGAATAGAGTGACTAATGAATAACAAAAGGAAAGTAGATAGGCAATAATACTGTTAATAAGAAATGAAATGTTACAACACGGAACGGACTTACGAAACCTCGGCAGTCTTACAATTGTATGCGTAATGACGTTACGCGTGAATGTTAATATTGTCAAAATATTTTCAACAATATGAATGAAATATTTAACGTGTGATGAAAATACGATAATAGCATTGAGCAAAAGTAATTAAAGTCCACAATAATAGATCAAATGGAGACGTAATCCTTTGAAGTCGTAGCAAACGGCGTTGTGTTCTTTCAACGGGCTCACCAATTTATTGTGGCGTTGGACTTTCGTTATCTTCGAAATTCCGTATATTTCCGTCTTGATGATCGCTACGAGAGAACACGAGTCGTTGCTACAATTTCTTTTTTATTCAAAATATTTAATGATCGATACAAATATCGGATTTAATTCAAATATGTACAGTCGATATTGACATCGAATTATTAAAACTGTTAATCGATACACCTAGTCAAATAACTATATGTGTACGTAGCAAGTAATGCCCAAGCGTACATGCGCATACAAGCTCAACAATGATGAAAGTACAAGATATTTTTGAGGTGCTACAGGTCCTACAAAACACCTAGCTTCACGGGTTTCCATAGCCGGTAGTAAGACTTTTATTGTTTGGAGCTAGTACGCCGAGAAATACTCGCGTATAACCGGCCACAAACAGTTGTTTCATGGGCTGTCGTCACGCTCTCAAATTACGCCGACCATTACCAATTATTTAATGGTTAGCCTAACAATCGAAATTATTTCACCAAAACCTATAACAAAAAAATACATAATCTCATTAGGCGTGAAACTTCATTTTCAAATTTGAAAACATTCCTACACTTCACGAAAAGCTGCTAGTTGAATAAGAATCTATGGCAGTATCAACAGAATGGTTTCCGAAATGAATCCACCGGATATCAACACAGTACATCATACCTGTTATTATGTCAGTTACGTAGTAATTCTATTTCGGCTACTGTCTTTTATTCTTTTTTAGTTACGTGATCCAAAAGGTGTGATTTCTTGCCTAGATCGAGCGGCTCGCTTTGCCAAAGAATGTATGGACGCTGCTGTTCGTGCACAATTATTCATTGATATTCTTAATTTATCTGTCAATCTCCGTTTGTCTGGTTGCAAACAAGTATGATTTTATTACTACTTTCTGTGTTTTTTTTTTACCTCGCGGTTGTTTTTTCTTTTGCTTTCAACAAATCTAATTTAATTGTATATTGTTCCCAAACAAGACAAGGTTGGAAAAGACCAATTTTGAAAACATCACCAACTTTTCCCGCAGATTTCCGTCACCGACGTCAGATCCTTAGATGCATTAAGTTAACATATCTAAAGATATTCACGAACAAACCTTCGGGCACCAAAGCCGCACTCCTGACTCCTTAAGACCACTTAAACTCAGATTCCTGCTTAGGAACCTAGAGGAGAAGTATCTTTCCATGGTTTGTGGGCAGCCTAGTAGTAATAACTGCCCTTATACTTCTGACATGATTCGAGATCGCCTTAGTAACAGTCATATCTGTATTTTGACTGAGCAGTAAATGCAGCTAAACAGCTGGTGAGCCAACGATCATCAATAAAGACAGTTACTATTTTCATTTAATTATCACCAATCCTGTTCATCTGTACGCTTCAAGTTCTTGGTATTTCATTTATAACTTCGCCATCTTTTGCTGTCTTTTACAGATTAGTGATGACCGAATAAATGACATAATCAATGAGATTAGAAATTTATTTGAAAGTTTAGAACCATCTCCTGTTACTGATCATATAACAGTACATTTTAAGAATACTTTGAATTATATACGCTATGAACAACAGATTGCCGCTACTACTTCTGTCAACAATACTGTTGATACTGATCCCGATGTTCAGTCATTAAGTAACAAACTATTTGCATCAGTTCAATTACATTGACAGTATCATACTGTTTACCCTACTACATAATATGTCACAATTTAGTGCAAAAAAAGCTGACAATTTCAACACTTCGACTGCTGTCCACTAGTCTCGAAGGATCTTGTGTTTCTTCTTTACGTTTTCTGTGTACTTTCATCGTGTTTTAGGGCAGGAAGAAAAGCAAATAAATTAAAAGATGACAATCCAGATTATTTCGACGCATCAGTTTGATTTATTTGATCATTTTTACATGTTACTGAAATCTTTCTCCCTTTGTTCTGCTCTATGTGTATGCTCCTGATGTACACACACACACACAAACAAACAAATCCTCACGTATATAAACGGTGATTTATAGCTTCTCAAATTGTGTAATAAATTGCATTTTGATTTCTCTTAATTTCAAAACAATTATGTAAATTTTACTTACTACTGTGTGACAATGAAATTGTGCTTCTATTCTAAATTTTTGACAAATTTATGTTGTCTTACCATCAAATGATTATTATTATTTCTAAACTTTTTTTCCTTTTTCTGTCTGAATACGATTATTTCTATTTAAATTAGTTGTTATATAAAAAAAGATAATCTCAATTTGATGTTACTTAATAGATTGATGATTTGATTTTGACAAAAAAGAAGCTGGTATGTTATTACTGTAGTCGTAGTTATTGAACAGGTTCATGTAAGGGAGTTATGTGCGTGGGGCTATATATTTCATCTGATTCGATTCACTTTGAATGCAAATGGTAGGAATAGCACTATGCGTCAGCAAGTTGCTGGTTTGTTTGAAAGCAACACTGTTATTACTCGATTTGATCAATCGACTAAATTTATTATAAAAAGCGCATTGGACGAACCAATCAAATCATTACCAAGAAAAACTCAGGAAAAAAATTTTTAAACATAGTACACTACATATGGAGATAAGTGCAGCGAAGTGACTGATATTCATGTACTTGTAGGAATGAGCCTAGACTTTCGATATTGAATTTCAACACCTAGGAACAAATTAGTGTAGCTTAGTGAATGCTGTCAGCAACTTCATGGAATAAATAGTATGAAATATTCTTTTGTAAATATAATTGTTCGTCCGACATTTTCATAGAAATTTTAATTTTGAAGTGGACTTTCAGCTGATGATGCATCACATATTCAAATTTGTGATTAGTAAAATTGTCTTCAACTTGTACTTAGCATCAAGTTCTTTCTTTGGAAATGAATCAATTAGCATAACTTAAGTGTTGATCATTGTTAAGTGACAGTAATCTCCTGTTGAGTATTTTGTTTAATAAGGCTAATTTAAAAATGGCTTTTTCTTTCTTAAAGAAATAAGGATTCTAAGCAGAATTGGTACATCACAAATGGCGAGCATGCTCATTCCATTAAGTTGTCTGTTATCACATATCTGAATGGACGATTTTTTTATTTACCTGTGCTCACCAGTGACTAGCTTCGTGAGGAAACTTCGAGTTCTAGTGGGAAGACGTGATCAGTGAAGTTCAACCTGTTCGGGTGTAGACAGTAACTACCGAAGACTGTGTATGAGGTTGCGCAACTCCGTGAATTGATCAAGTTAGGCATTAACACCGTTAGGTGCCGGCCCAGTGGTCCGATGGTTAGGCGTTCGCGCACAATACCGAAGGTCCTTTGTTCGAATCCTGCGATGTGCAGGAGTCGAGGATGCGCACTGCTGAAGAGTCCCATACCAGGACGAAACGGCTGTCCAGTGCTCCCAGGTCTTTAATGGTGGTCTAACATTGATCGATTCATGATTTCAAAAATGTGATTTTGTTATTGTTTGCCCGTATTCTTGTGAAGAAAACATAAGATATTATAGATAAAGTTTTTAAAGACAATAAAATGATTTGTCAACAACAATTATATTGTACCAGATTTATTGAAATTTTATTGTTAACCGTCCACAAAATAGAAATCAGACTAGTAGGAAGGTGACTACTCAATTCCGCTTAGCGTACACACACCATTAATAATTATAAATCACCATTCTTATGAACAGATTTAACAGTCACTTATCACCCATAAACAATGTTTTACTTTATTTACAATTTATAAATATCAACAATTTCATATCAGTTTATGCATATTACACGAATCAGGTGGTTGATCTAGGAATAGACACGAAAATACATCATTGAAGAAGTTCGGATGATAACGACAAGCTCTTTCACAATCTGGTGAAAAATTCACTTCACATACCACAGGATGCACACTTTTTTTAATAGGTGAAACATATGTATCTGGACGCCATTCCAATAGGATATCGACAGCATACAATGCTCGAGATTGAAGATTGTGAATTAGTCCACGTGGTGACGGATATCTTGTAGCTGCTTGGAAAATTTCAATCAAAAGTTGATGTATTTTCGGCTGTGTTAATAAATAAAGTAAAGAGAATAAACATTTTATAAATTATATTTTTAAAAAAATATTTAACAACGCTTATGATACTGAATTATTATAATTAAAAGATTCATAATAAAGACATTTCTTCACAAATCGATAGATTTTTCTTAATCATTAATTAAATATTATTCACGCAATTAGCTGGTTGTCGAATAATAATAAAAAGTATGTATAATTTAAAATTTTGCCGTTTTGTTATAAAAATATTCCTCATATTTCAAAAATCAATCATACAAACTTATCCATAACTAAATCCAATGTTTGTTTATCCACATTATAACTATAATAAGATCAGAATTTACAAAAGACAGTTATGTTGACTTAAAGACAGAATAAGTGAATATTAATAAAAACAAACCAATGTTAGTGGACAAGACGCTATGAAATTTACTATCCAACTGACTAGCTAACTTATTAGAGTCTATATTATGGGCGGATCCTTTGACTGAGCAGCTATTTGAAAGCAGGAAGTGTTGGAATGTTGTTGCATTCAAGTATACTAATTATATGCAAAGTGAAGTGGTCTAAAATTCAAGCATGAACGTTTTGTGTCCGATCCTCGATAAGATCGTAGATGTGTAAAGCTAAGGGTGAAGCGGATGCTTGTGCTGAAAGGAAAATCTGAGTTTATTGACTTACGTAACGATCTATAAACAAACACCTAAGGCATACAACCACCTCCTTCCATTAGTTAATCTTAGCAATGGGTGTAGGCAGGTTTGCCCAATCTCACCATTCCTCTTCAATTTTTCCATGAATGACGTTCTGGGAACAGCTCTGATGGACGTAGGTGACAGTAATATGGATCTGTTACCTGGAGGTACTTTTCATCCTTCAGTAGGCGGATAAAATGGTCTTACTGTGCGAAGATTACCAAGCCATGCAGTCCGTACTTAAAATCAGCTGGCAGTTAGTGTCCGAGACCAACAGGATCCTCTGCCCGCACTCACTCTTGGTAGTGAGCGGATAACACGTTTATGTACCTGGGTAGCTGTGTAAGTGCTGGTGGTGGAGTCGGTGATCAGACTGATTCACGTAAAGTGAAAATTAGAGTGGCTTATGTTAATCTGGGTCATCTTTGACGTCTTCATGATGTTAGTCTGACTGTAAAATGTTGAGTCTACAATGCATCGGTGAGAGCAGTTTTACTCTATGTTTATAAAACCTGGTCTTTCCGAATTGAAGATATCAGAAAGTTTTCTGTGTTCGATCACCTTTGTCTTTATAAGATTGCTAACATTCAGTGGCAGAGGTTCGGATACAGCGACGACAACTCAATTGGTGTCGCCCTCTTGAAACACTGACTCTGGTGGCTTGGACATGGACTACAAATGTCATTTCTGTGGACTACACATCATGCATTTGCATTACTTGCCAAGGCTGGGACTGTTTGGGAAAACGGAGGCGATCGATGTATTATATGGGCATCGTGGTATGTTAGAAAGCTGTTAAGGGCTGGCATCTAATGGTCCCCGATCCCAGAGATTCAACTCAGTGGTTAGAGAAGTTCTCAGATATGGTTCCGAATAGAAGCCAGTGGCGTTTCCGTTATAACGTTCTTTTAGTTTGTTCATATTATTGACAGAAACTTTTTTAGAATTAAGAATTCTTACTAGTTATATTTTATTTATTAAGTGGACTTTTTCTACCACTATTATTACCATGATTACACTAATTTCTATTCAGTTTTTTGCTATATTCTCCGTTTTTTCTCCATCTGTTCACAACCTTATTCTTATTGTGTCGTGCATCCATATATGGATGCCCCCCTCCTTGTACCAATGTTTATATGATTTTAAAATAATTAAAAGACGAAATCATTAAGTCTAAAATAGTAACCATAAAATACTTTGGTTCAATTAATGAAGCAGACAAATTAGACTAGATAGTTTAGATGTTAAAATTGAGAATATGATTATTAATTGTTTAAAGAAATCAGTCGTGCTTTATTATACGTACGGTGTATAGTCTAAACACATCATTTTCATGTCCTGAATACAAGTTCTTCAATGTTATTTACAACTGTATAATTACGTGGATCGGTTTTAAAGAGCCAGAACCACTAGAGCATAAATCAACTTGAGAATAGAAATTACAATACAAAATTACTGAACTACACAGTATGAAGTGAAGAACAAAAAAAAAAGTTTAAAAATACTTCGATAGTTGACCATTTATGATCTGGATATTGTTCATTGAACAATTCAACGAATTCATCACAATGTATCTGAAAAATTTCAAAAATCGATAGATAGATAGTGTTAGAGAAATCTGAAAAAGAAGAAAGCACTGTCACGATGATGATGTTGGATATGTGTGTGTCACTAAACGTATTACGGACAATTGTCTGACGACTACGTAGTACTGATCAAAACTACATCTCTCTGATCAGCTACAAGAATAAGATAAGTATGACCAGTCAGTTTTTAAATATTTTAGCCCAACAAGAGATTAGTTGAGAGTCGAGAAGTGCAACTCAATGGTTTCAGATTATACAGAGCTTAGTGATACAATATACAAATCATATATTACTATAAATTAAACGTGATTTTCTGTTGACTGCACCCAGATCACAATAACATTAACTATTTTTTCAATTGATTTTTTTAAAAATTTTCCACAAATTCTTCTGAAAAAAAATTCTGTCAAACCAACATATATACTGTGAGATATGGTCATAGCTAATGTGATCATTCATTTCTATGCCATTGTCAAATACTTAACATTCTGATTTAACCGAAGTTCTTGATATGACATTTTCTATTTAATTACACAAATCATTGAAACTTTTACTTCTGTTACAATTATGAATTGTTTTTATAACCATTCATTAAATATATACATACATATATAAATTTTAATCCTTCTAGATTCATCAACACACCTACCTTTCTCCTTCTAAACTTATCTCACTGCATTATACTACTTCAACAATATCTTCGAACCCTAATCTTCTTCATTACCAGTAATACTTCTACTATCTCTACCACTATGAGATGTGAACTGACAATTGCGTCTCTGTGCTATTGTGTGGTATGACAACCTGAAATGATGTACTTACGTATGAAGTTTTACGTTGTAACTAACGGACTGACTGACATATATCTCAGTTACAATTTTTTACAACATTATTACAGTCAAGTTAAGTTTTATCAGAAATGGTAGCGTTTCTGGATGAAGGATGCATATATCTGAATTCAGAACAGAGTACCAAACAGTTACTTGGATGTTGAAGTGACCAATTATATCAGTACATAGGTGTTGCTGCATTCGAAATATGTACAGCCAAATATGTTGCAGTAAAGGATAAGCGTAGACTCACCTAACTTATTATGATTGGTTATAACCAAGTTATGTATGATTTACAATTCCATCGATATAATATCCAGTTATAATAACTACGAGATGAAGTACATTTTGATATTGAAAATTGAACTAGTACAACCTATTTGCTTAACATTTTTAAATATTAAATTACTCAATATACGAAACATGTTCATAAATACTTACTTGTTTCAAATTGTCGGCAGCACGATAATTCATCACTGTAAAATGTCGATCATATGAATCCAAATCGTCTAAAATAAATGGTCTGCATACAAGAGAGAATGGTGTTTACAAATGAAGAATGATATCAATGTTAGTGATGACAAAAAAGCCTATATCTTTATGAAACAGATAAAATTCATAAGTAAAAACTATTTCTAGTCACATAATAAATAAACAATACGTTATGCAGAGATAGTGTGCGACTGTTACACTCGAATTTACTGCAGATATTAGATTTCAGTATTACTTCATACATACCTTTTTGATCGATTTTTTCGTCTAGAAGGCTCGATTGATTTTTGCCAAACTGCATCACTTATGGCTTAGGCGAGATATCCGTTTGCTAATCAAAGGACGAGTCTACTGCACAGTAGTTCGCGCCGTCCTACTTTATGGCTGTGAAACATGGCCAGTCAGAGAAGATATTCGTAGGTTACTGGTTTACGATCATACGTGGCTCCGAAGTATTGCTCGTATATCCTGGGACAACCGAGTGAGCAACGCTGTTATTAGGAAACGTGTGCTAAGTAAGAATGGCAGACCAATAGATGAAGTAGTGAAACTACATCAGTTGAGGTGGATGGGACATGTGTTACCAATGTTCAAACACCGACTGGCTCGTCGAGCTATATTTTGTGGCGTAGGAATAGGTTGGACGAAAACTAGGGGCGGCCAGACCAAAACATAGCGCAAATCCATGAAGTCACTGACAAGTGGACTGGGTCATGTAGATATGTGTCGACTACCTGGTTCTACGTTGCTACTGATTGATTGGATTGGATATTTGTTCATCTTATACTCTTAATATTAATCTGTTGATTATTAGATGCTACAATTTTAATTCTTCTTGGTTATTCATCTGGTTAATTTCATTTTACAGTACTTATGTGGTATGACACGACATGGGCTAGTGCAGATTTGCATCATGTTTGATGTTGGCTACTACGGTAAAAGGTGAAAGTAAACGATTAAAACACATCTTCGAATGTCTAAGTTTCATCTTATACTCACGCCAGACATATCTGAGTAGATAATTGGAAGTATGAACAGTTTATTGATCATCTCACATAATCATACAACAACCACATACACCTAACCTGTTAATCACATTCGAAATGAAAATTTACCGGTTTGGCTAAACCGTATAATTCAACTTGTACAATAGAGAGTTGATGGAAGTTTTCTTCCGTGGAATTTTGATTGTTACTTTTGTAAATATCAAATAACATTTAGAATATGTATTAAGCTTACTTATTTGCAAATCGAAGCCAAAATATTTTATACGTGTACAAAATGAGTGGTTTGACAGAACGTAATAATACAACATAGCGTATATCAAATTTTACATCAGCATTTAAATCAACACGCTGAAATAAAACAGGATCTGTGATATATCGACTGGCGATCTAAAAGAATAAGGCAGACGAAAAAAGACAAAACATAATTAAAATATTCAAGGTCAAACATATAGCTGTAGTCCGAAACACGATGTGCTTTTGACTCCCTAAAACTCGTGTCTTCAGTTGTCGACCTTGACAAATTCCATGCGACATTCCGTCTCATACTACTTAAAAGCAAACTTGCGAGTAGCGTTCACCATAATAGTAATGCTGATTGTATTAGGGTGTGACAGCAATAAGGTGCTTTTCTTAGACAACCAGTATCAGTAAAGATGACTTGCAACAACGGAAGGAGAGTGCTGCAACAGGTCATTCCTGAATTATGATTATAATTTTCAGTGTGATTTGTTAAAGTTAGCCACTGTATGATAATAAAACAGTAGCATTTTGAATAAATGATATCAATGATATGATGCGCAATTTCATAACTGATTGAAAAGCAAATGACCTAAGCCTAGTTGATTCTCTCTTATCGCCTATGAAACTCTAATCATGATTAGCTTCGTGCTAATATTTCCTACATAAGCATATTATTTTCTAACATAAACGAACCTATTAAATTGGCTAGTGGACTTGTCATTTATCTAGAATAACGCACAAGAAGTCTCGTGAATATCCATCGCTCAGCTATACCGAATAAAATTGTATTTCATCGATCGGCGTTGGATTCATTCACTTCATCAAATACACCATCATAATAACAATTTAAGCTTGCGTTTATCTGATTCAGTTATTATTTTCTTTTTCATCAGAAACGACTAACATCTGGAACGTAACGAAACCGAATTTTACGCTTAATTGGATACTACAGATTTAATATTATCATTATAAACAATCCTGCTAATGCGCAATTCATTTGAAATTGTTTGCATTACATATTGAGAGTGTGAATAAATGCTCTTACCATTGGATGAACATCACAAGTTCTTATTATTCTTTCCAAATTGTCAGTAATCACAATTCCCACGCCTCGACCAAGATTCCACGGCTTCAAGATCCATATATTATGTTTATCGTTTGTCTCAGATTCTTCACTATCACGGATGATCTTATTCTACACAGAGATGATTATGTGCAAAGAATACAATTTATAATGCACTAAGGGAAAATAACACTTCATCGTATGTATAAATACAGGTTATGTTAAAATAGCATTTTCTACGTTTGATTGGTTTTTAAGAATTTTTCTCCGTTTTTCTGCTGAATGACATTATCAGTACAAACTTTAGACAGGAATAAGTTATCAGAATTTCTTCACAAATGGCTAACAGCTCGACCTATAGTTCTTGGAAATGATTAATCGCTGTTAAATTCAGGGTCTACGGAACAAACCTGCAGTGATTGTGGGTACTTTAAAAAACTAAATTTTACAAAATCCTCAAAATGAAGTAAAGGAAAGTTAACCTATGGCAGAAGTAACAGTTGTTTATATGAATCTGCTACGCCTACACGTAAACACATCAACTTGATATACTTGAACTATTACGGGTTTACCTAGTCGGAAAACGAGAGCGAGGATCGAGGATCCGGCGACACGACATACTACTCAAATCCGATTATCTCAACGCCCCATATTGAGTGAAAATAAGAAGACTTGAATGTGAAGTAGAACCTGTATTCTACAAGCATCCAGAAAGTACCAGGTCCGAATCCAGAAAAGAATCAGGACCCCGGACTAGGGATCCAGGACCTGGTCCTGGCCCTGGTCGGGGTCATAAAACGTTACAGACAATGCGTATTTATACATTTTGATCAAATAGGAAACGGCATCGAAGTCAGAGACATTGACGACCAATAGGAAGCAACATTTGAAGTGACATTGATAGTCAGGACAACCAATAAGAAACAACATTGGAGTATGTGACATTGATATCTAGGACGACCATAAAATTGACCAGTAGGAATCAACCAATAGGAATAGACCAATTCTCTTAGGATAATGTATGAATATCCTAACAGAATCTACCCTCTACTTAACTTCCAGAACTGGTAGACTGCATATTCAAACTCCACTTTGTTGATTTTAATTTAAAGAATCAAAGATTATCAGTTACTTTCACTTGAAAAAGTGACTTAAAATCAGGTATATGAATTTCATAACTGATAAAAAAAACAACCTAACTTACATAATTCGATTGGAAATAAGCACAAAATTGTGGAAGTTCATACACTAAATTAAATGTAACCGGATACCAATTAGTTGAAAGTTTCGCATCAATATTGTCTTCATTATTGCTGTTGTATTGTTGAACATAAGTTTCACTAGCTACACTTGCTGCTAAACTAGCTAGATAATCTTTCACAGTGATAATATATTCACCAGGAAATTGATTAATATACGTATTTGGACGATTTATTGATAATTTTCTAACGAAAAGAAAAACACACACACAAAATCAATATAAAACAATAGAACATCATCTGGGTAGAGATAGAGTTCTATGGTTGAATTAGCAATTGGAATTCTATGCCTAAATGACGAAGAAAGGAAGTTAGTTTGAGATAGCTAGTAGGAAACCTTGAACTGATAATCCGTACTAGCTGATACTATTCATAAGCAAGGTGTATCTGTAAAACTGAGGGAACTGATATTTCATAGGATTCGAACCTGAATCACTGTTTCACACACTGATTAATAACTATCAAGTTGTTCAGGCTGGTACTGACTTCCTGTAGGACTGAAATGTCCAGTCCTTAGAGCTGACCAAATTCTATCAATCAATTTGCAATAATAATAATGAAACCTATTCGTGAAGTACAAGTTTATATAGGTGTGGTGCGAGCTACTTATAAGTAGTATATGACGTAAGTGTCATCGTAATGTCTGGTAGCATAATATGGGGGGAAGATCAAGAAAGGAAGAGTCAGAAAACAATGGAATTTGTATGAAACGCATGAATAGTGAGTGACAATGGATTGATGTTTTGCAACAGGAACAGTCCAGTTCGATATGATCGACTGATATTTTGCAAATTAACGATTTACAATATGGTTTCCCTATTTTACTGAGTAACTCTGTAATTTTCGTTAAATACAATTCGGTTGCCCCACCTGTGTTCTCGTTCACTAGATAGGAATGTTATTTTCATAAAAGTTATACTTCACGAGTACTAAAAGCGAAGTATGTGGATTGGGAATTCAAACAAACAATCTACTTACTTGAAAGTCTAGTATTTTGACTGTACTCATCGTAAATAATAAAAAGATATTAAGATTTCAGTGGAATAGTTACAAGAAAACCGAGATCCTAATCAGATTCAAACTGTCAAAAAACTTCATCAATTCAAATTGTTCTCGCAGGACAAAAAAATTAATCTTATAAAGATGAAATAATAGAAAGATTTTTCATTTAAAGATAACTAAAGATAACTTATACTGAGTGAATAAAACTAACTCAAACTCTTTGAAATGCATATACATCCAGATAATATCAGCTTCATCAGGTGAATCAACAAAAGTAAATTGTGTATGAGTTAAATATTGTTTCACTTGATTTAAATCAGTGTAAACAGTATAACATTCTCGTTTAATCGGTTCATTGATTTGACATATTGGCAGCGTTTCTTGTACTCGATGAGACTAAATAAAACAAGAGAAAAAAAAGAAAAAATTCACAAGCAACACTAACTTGCAATATTGAATATTTTAATTTTGTTTTTCCAGGAAACAATATGCAATAGATTTATCTAAATAACCAATTCAGGCTTTCAACATCCAACGACTAAGTAACAGCTTCAAACTAAGATCTAATGACCTTAGTTTGAAGGATCGAGTAATGTCGTTAGCTGCCGCGCTTAGAATGTGGTTGTAAGGCAAAAAAATAAGTCTATAACTGATAGATCAGTGCAATTCAAGCAAAAGTGAAATACGTCTCGAAATTACTAGTTATACTAGTGTTGTGTGAGCTACTTATAAGTAGTATATGACGTGAGTGTCAACGTAATATCTGGCAGCAGAGCATGGGGGAAGATCAAGAACCGAAGAGTTAGAAAACAATGGAATTTGTATGAAATGCATGAATAGTGACAATGGATTGATGTTTTGCAACAGGAACAGTCCAGTTCGATATGATGGACTGATATTTTGCAAATTAACGATTTACGATATGGTTTTCCTATTTTACCAATTAACTCTGTAATTTTCGTTAAATACAATTCGGTTGCCCTACCTGTGGTCTCGTTCACTACACTAGTACTGATTTGAAATTCCTATCAGCCGCTAGATTGTATACAAGTTAACAATGGAGTTGTGACTCGGTTTTTATGCACAAGGATTGTAGAATGGAAGAGGAAAGCTCACCAAGATTTAACAAACTAGATAGTGGTACTGGATCTCGGAAAAAATACACTGGGATTTATAGCTTTGTAGCATATATTAGCCGAAAAGTATTGTAAGTTAATTTGAATACGGTGCCTTATTTATAAAACTGATTGAAAGAGAGAGAAATAATCACCATCATTATATATTAATTAATGAACTGTTAGACATACAGTTACACCTAGGCATTAAAAATAACAGAATAGATCGTCTTCATTCGATTGAAATAAATACAAACAAGATCAAATAAGTATATAATGAATTTTCTAAAAGCTGATGATAAAATAAATACAAACGTCTAAAAGATAAGTTCTTCCACCAACTAACCACTCTCCGCTTCGACATACTACGCTGAGCAGGCAGTACAACAGCATAGGATATTGAAATAAAGCTAAATGTAGGCGGACAAAAACAGCACTGAATGAAGATGCACTGCACCAAATTGATGAATAAATTGGGAGAAATAAAACTGAGTGGTAAGCATAAAGAAGATAACTGTTACATCACGATAAACTTTTCTGTTCACACGGAAGAATAGAGAATACAGTTTAGCACTGTTAGGATATTTTCATCCAATATCCTAAGAGAATTATTGGTCAATTCTTATTGGTTAATTCCTACTGGTCAATTTTATGGTCGTCCTAGATATCAATGTCACATACTCCAATGTTGTTTCTTATTGGTTGTCCTAACTATCAATGTCACTTCAAATGTTGCTTCCTATTGGTCGTCTTAACTGTCAATGTCACTGACTTCGATGCCGTTTCCTATTCGACCAAAATGTATAAGTACGCATTATTTGTAACGTTTTATGACCACGGGATCCGGGATCCTGATTCTCTTCTGGATTCGGACCTCGTACTTTCTGGATGCTTGTAGAATACAGGTTCTACTTCATATCAATTCTCTTCTTCTTTCATTCAATTGGGGCGTTGAGATAATCGGATTTGAGTAGTATGTCGTGTCGCCGGATCCTCGATCCTCGCTCTCGTTTTCCGACTAGGTAAACTCGTGATAGTTCAAGTATATCAAGTTGATGTGTTTACGTGCAGGCGTAACAAGCACAGTCATCACTTCAGAGTCCATATGATAAAAACAGTGTGAATAAGTGATACACTTGCATTAGCAAACTTTAATCTAACACGAGTAAATTTTATTCTACTAGACCAAACCAAACCTGTTAGATTGATGCAATTAATCCGGTGTTCGGCAAAGATGATGTACATTTTTGAAAAAATACATCTTTAAATAGAATTTAATTTCACAATAGCAATATGCTGCAATATAATGAAGTAAAAACAATAACACCTTTAAAAAATATGATATAAAAAAATTAAATGTTCCAACTAATTTCACTTACTTTAAAATATTCATCTGTTAAAGTATATGTATGTTCAATAGGTTCATTGGAAAAGTCATTTGGTTGCCAAGGTAATAAGTAATAAGATCGCAGTTTCGAATCTTTTATATGTTCTACATAATCAATTGTAATACTGTCTACATAATAAGAAAACAATGAAAAATATATGCATGTATATAACCATATTATGAACATTGGTTTAAAGACTGTTTGTTTGTCTGAGAAGCAACTATGCTATTATTATAGATAAATTAATTTGTAAATTAATCCAACAGCCAATCAAAAAATGTTGCTTTGAATTTTGGCGCAGATTCATCATAATCGAAGCTTTGAACTGCACAATCTTCATTTCAGGGTTCAATGCCATTACCGGAAGCCATATTTAACAATCAATTGAATTCTAAGTATATGCCTAAAAATTGTAAATCGTGTATTTCAATTACTGAGTTGTTGTAATCCTACTCATTAACTGTATGTGTAGAGACGTGGAGAGATAATTTGGTTATTTAGCTGTTAACAACCATACTAAATGATAGCCGCGCACCATCATATTTGGTTAGATGATAGAACAGTACATCATTCACTATTAAAGATATAGCTCAAAGCTGGCTACATTTGTAGCCAAATGAAAATAAAATAGACAGATTTCGACTAAATGGTTTATTTTAAACTAACTCTATTGTAATAAGAACAGTTGTATGTTTCTTCATTAAGAGTGTTATGAAGATGATAGTTTTACGTTGAAATCATGAATGAATCATTGTGTTAGACCAACATTAGATATATGGAAGCACTGAAAGACAGCTATTTGGTCTTGGTATGGGAGAATGTCTATTAGTAGGAGACAGGCTGGATTAGAATATGTCTAATCCATGATTATGTTGGAGCATTCTTATCCAATCAACACTAGTGGATAGCCGAAGAAGACTCGAGTAGATTCTTATGTGAAAATTATAAATATAATAACTCTTTTATAACTATGATTCATTGACATTCAATTTGGTTTGTTGAAATACAACAATCTACCTGTTCAAGTCATGTTTTGATTTCAGAGACAAGTTGAACATTGTACATTGTCCGAAGAAGATTAAGCAATAAGAGTAGCTGGATTGTATAAGAGAAATTTTTAAAAAATTATATACCATAAAAAATAGTAATGATTATTGTTATAGCTTACAAAATAAAACAATGCTTACCATCTTTTTTCAAATTCTTAATGGGCCAAAACACAGAGTAACATAATTTACGTGGTACATAGTAAAACGGTACCATACGAGCTGGAAACAGGCAAGTAGAAAGTACAAACAATTTTTTAAGAGGACTGTAGACTTGAAAGAAAACTAGTACGCATTTTTAGCCAAACAACAAATTAGTATTAATTAATATTTTAAGAGACGACAATTATAAATGTCGATTAACCGTCATGATTACTGGTGGTTGATGTTTACTGTGAGTAACAAGAAATCTTAGTCTAAGGAATATATATAAAATCAGAGACAGATTAATCAAACCAATATTACCTATTTCTTTTAACCGAGTGCGTACAATCAGCCAAAATGAAATACCGAAAACCGATGTTCAGTACAAGACAGGCGTCATCATATCAAATAATTACTAAATAGTAGTGACTAGCGTGTTATGTTCGCCTAGTCTATTTTTAGTACTGATCGAATTCTAATGAGACCAAGTTGTAATGCAACCATCAAAATAAGTGACTCAACATCGTATGTTCGATGGTGGATGGTAAGGAATGGATACAAATATACTAGTGTTTTAGGACCTTAAGAGCTTAGTGGTAATGTCTAAAACTGCGAAGTTGGGAGATGTAGGCTTGAATTCTATAAGTGTCAGTTCACTAGAAACCTCTAGCCACTGAATACAAACACGTTTGGCATCATCTATTAGTTACTTGACCATTGATTTTACTCAACACATATATTATAGTCAAAACGTCATGAAAACGACTAGTTTTTGTCTTTCAAATATCTAAGTGACTGAATAAGTTCAAAACTTTTAAGTACGGCTTATACTGGCTTTCCGTGTAAGAATATAGGGACGTGATAACCACAGAGCTGTAGTGAAGAGAGAAACAAGAGACATTATTAAACAATCGGAGCTTATCTTGGGAACGTAGTGATATTTAATTCAAAGCCTGCAATATACTAACACTTACTTTCATTCCAAAGTTGTTGTAATTTAAACGTACCCGGATACTCTTAATTTTCTACCCTAAAGGGCTAGTTTCGGCATAATTGTATTTTTCAAAATCGTTGCGCGTTGCGGGGTCTTGCAAAGTATATATCTATTCATGTGTCTTTTTCTGTTATTCAAATCAGGAATAAATCTAAGTGATGCAGTCGACCTGCTGACCTATCCGGTGACAGAATTGTTCTCTTCACTCTACCAAAGCCGTTTGGTCATAATCGAACTCACGTGCTATCCTATTAGTCTCAAGCTTAAGTACATAGCCTATCACATTAAAGCCTTTAAACTAGACTGTGATAAAATTAATTGCTGTGTATTAGTGGTAGACAGCCCAAGGACGTAACAACTAGTACGTTAGGAGGAAGTTGTTGAGAAAAAGTATCTGCTTAGTCAGTTATTGTCGTTTAATTTATTAATGTTCAGTGGACATTTCCAAACTACAGTAGCAATCACCTGTAGGCTCATCCGAATGTTGAATATGTGATCCAACTTCATCTAATACATACCACATTATTTGTTGTAACTCAGGTACTTGTGATAACAATGACATATTCTCTTGCGTTGATAATTTGTAGTAACGACAATACCTTTAAAGTGAGGATAAAAAAAATTCAAACAAGTTTAGTAGATTCCCGGAAAATATGAAAATCATTATTATAATTATTAACTCATCAACTAGCTACAGATTCATATACTTGGCTTTGAGCATAATACAGTCAGTGAGAATGAGGCGTAACAGTCAGGTCTCAATTGATTAGAGAAAGAATGATCCACAAACTAATTTCCCCTAATCGTCTATGACACTTTATATTACGTCTATTTTGTTAATACATTCTGTACGTAAGCAAGTTGCGTTATTATAAAAGAAATCCAATTATCTGGCTAGTCGTATTGTTTTTGATTCGGGGGGGGGGTGTTGTAACAATAGAACAGTCTCATGAATAGCTATTGTTTAGCCAGCTGTGGTCATCTATCGACTAGCATTATACTCATTGATTTTAACAAGTGAAAACTTTGCTTATTAGATAATCGAAAACCTACTGAGAAAAACAAAGGCAACTTAGGTGAGATTCGAACCACTCTGGGGAAAACTCTGGAGAATTAGCAGAGCATTACTAAAACCGAAGGTGAAGGAGACGTTCATCGACAAGATTTCTTGCTAGCGTATAGAGCTACATTAAACAGTGCACACACATCGACGGGAGTTGTGAATTAAGACCAATCTACCACCTGATGTTATAGGAAGGGATCACCTGTGAAGAATGATACCATCGAAAGCCTTAGCATTCGGAATTGAAGCTCAGAATTTCTCTTGAAGTTACAGGCCGAAATATGATACACAAATAGAGTTGTGTGTGACATGAAGGCTACACCAAGTGACAATCGTAAACAACAAATGGGGCTACGACATCTCAGTTCGTTACCAAGACGTGTACTATGAGGACACGTACAATGAAAACAAATGACTTACTTCCATACATTTCTACAAATATCTGAAGCAACATTTTCAGTTACATTATTTGAAGTATTTATATTCATTAATGCAGCCATTCGTTCCAATAGATTGGGAAGTTGAAGTAAACATTGTT